TATTACTAATTACAAATGTTTAAATATTTGAAAATTCAAAATTATATAGCTGGAACGCTAAGCTTTTTAAACTCATTTTGACAGACTTTGATAGATATTTCTTTGACAGATATTTCCGAGTACTAATGAAATTTTGAAAGCAAACGAAAGAAATTATTTTGCTTTTCAATCACCTTTTTTCTGTTCTAGTTCTTCTTTCAGAACCTCAACTATCAGATCAACACCTACTTCAAGTACATCGCCAATAATCGCTTCCATGATAATTAAAAGAGCTTTTAGCAATAAACTTTATTGAAAAATATAAGTTCTGGTATTGGACTGTTATATACTATAATAGTCCAATACCAGTGCCGTTCTGGTATTGGACTATTCAGAGTTGGTTGAACAAGCGAAGGTTGTAACGTGTGATCACAAACGAGAAACCAAAAACCGGTTTCTTAACTAGTTGCCTCCACTTGGTTGCCTAGTGTCATCAGCACTTAACGCAGCAATCATAGTTTAGCAAAGCAGAGTTCAGAGCAGATCTATTAAAAAATTGTCTCGAACTTTGTGGTTCTGCTTGAGATTCTGATCCAGTTCAGCACGATCTATGATGTTTTGTTATTTCTGATGTTTGTTTATTAGTTTGAAATAAATTCATAGAACTAACGTCTTATTTTATGTTGAGACACTGCAGTGTGAATGGCTCTTTCGTGAAAGCAGATCAGCTGGCTTCCACTGCGCAGCTATTATACTTATTTTCGATATCCGCTTGTTAAGCAGAGGGCAGTACTAAACTTCCGGCCTGTTCTTTATCAGAATTATCCCGAAGAAACTATAAAAGTTTAATTTTCCTGTATATGGTGTGTAATTTGATCATTTAGCGAAAAAGTAAATTTATTTAAATAAGTAAATAATTAATAAAATTATTTAAGATCTTTTAAAAGTCGAATTGCTTCCAAACATTAACTTTAAAAATTAAATACATGTTGCGCGGAGCTGCTATATCATGGCAGCCATCATTCGAAAGTAAACATAAACAAACACATGAGTTTTGAAATTCAGTAAAGCGCTTATGGTGTTTTCCGTAGAACTATTTAATTAATTTAACTGTACAGGGTAAAAAAGTGAGATTTTACGATTAAAAAGATTGTGTATCATTATTAAATTGAAATATTTGGATTTAAGCTTCTAATAATTTTAAACTTTTCTTATAATGTTGTATAAAATTGTTATAAATTCATGCCAGTTCTCATGTTTTTAATTTACAATTGTGTCTACTATGTAAGTTTTAATATTGCTTATTAATTATGATAAACCTTAAAAAATAACTCAAACTTAGCTGTTTTTTAGTACAAATTTTTAAACTGAAATATCAAAGTTAAGTTATTGCTTATATTTTGATAGCTGTTACGACTTATTATTTATTTATAAAGTGTGTTTATAAATTAAACGCTTTCTCATCTTGCACAACAGGGTTTTTTTTCCAGATTTTTTTAAGTAACAATAAACAATGCTATTGTTGTTTGCATCCTTTATTAAAAGCATACTTTTACTTCATAATAATTTTACGTTAATTAAAAAAGTTCGTAAAAATAAACTTATAATACAGCGAAAAATAAGATAAAATAAGATGTGGGCGTAAAAAAAAAATCACGAGTTAGCATAACTCATTATTGTGTTTTGTGTTGGTATTCAAGAATATATATTCAAATAAATTTATTTCTTAAATTTCACTTAAAAAAATTTCTTTTATTATCTCTCCTCATTTTCTGCTATCTCCTTTTCTCCTAATTTACTTTCTTGGTGATCTTATGTTTTAAAATTGTCTGAATTATTTTTTATTGCTTTCTTACGACCATGAATGTAATTTTTTTTTAAAAAAAGAGGGATTCACTCAAGTCTAATTGCCTCAATATTAGTGAAACTCTGAATCCATAACTTGAACTACTGTATTTTTTATATTTTTAATTATTTTTCTTGCAGCCATGACTGAAAATGAAAAAAGTGATTTGCTCAACTCTAACTATCTCAATATCAGTGAAACTCTGACATCTGATACCTTGACAGCTGTGTCTCAACTAGACAATACTTTGTTCATTGGAACAAACATGGCAATTGGAGCTCCATGCTTATACGCAGCTTTACCTGCTGAGATAGCTAACAATTATCCTGAAGGTATCTTAATTCAAATGTTAAATACATAATTTGTAATTCATTAATTATTTAGATAAGACATTTCTCTATGATGTTGTAATAGTCAGCGTCATTTACCTGCTGGATTTTTCTTTTTAATTTATTTTCATTTTATGTACTTTTACATAATTTTAGGTTACATAATACAGTACAGAACCCATTATCCGGAAATCAAAAGACCGGAAAACCAAAAAACCGGAACAAAATTCGATAAATTTTCAGCCATTTTTAAAAAAAAAAAATTTTTTTCCTAATAAGATTGTAGGATTTTTCATTCCTTTTTGAAAGATGTTTACCTTGCCATCAATTTGGAAATAATCATTATTGTATTACTTCATCGTTTTTTCTTCTGTTTAAGATTATTTCCAAATATTATTATTTATTTTTTTAGTAGAGTTCAACAATAAGAAAGAAAACGGCTTTTTGTAGCGATTCAGAAAACCGGAAAAATCAGTTATCCGGAATAATGATGGTCCCAACCGTTCCGGATAATCGGTTCCCTACTGTATAAGGGTAGTTTGTCCAGAGTACCTCTTTCTCCCTATCTCTTCTCTCATATTTTTCTTTCTTCAAAAAAAAAAAAAAAGTTAAAGCAAAAAAATTAGTTTTACTCCTTTATTTAAAAAATACTATTTGATAAAGTTATGTTTAGTGCATGTAGACAGTTTTTCCATATTTTTTTCTATCTTTAATGTTTCATCACTGTTTTAATAATAAGAGCATATTATTTTTTGAATTCATAAGTTCATATTTAATGGAGACAGTTGTAGAAGTAGTTTGTTGATTTTGAATTTTTGAGCTCTTAACTAACATTTAATTTATTTATTTTGTATTAAAAATATAAATGAAACTAATGAGATATGAATTAAATTATTTTATACGAATTTTAAAACTTGTCTTTCCCAGTAAGCAGTTAGCACTTTCTTTTCTTCTTATTAATTCCTAGCCTTTCATTCTTTGTTTACATCACTGAATTTCTATAGGTATTTTTATATTCTTTATTTACGGTTTAAATTTAAAATTTATTTTTATAAAAAGTATTTGTCTGAAATTATATTTTGTTCTTATCATAGTTTCAATGATTTTAATCTCTTTTTTCTTTTACTTTTTTAGATCATTAGTTTAATTTAATAAAGCAAAAAAAAAACCTAAGATTTTTTTTAAAATCATAATCTTATTAAATATTATTTATCTTATATTTTTTATTCTACAAAATTTCAAGCAGAAGGTATCCCATGAGTGCCTAAAACTATAAAAAATGGTGACTTATAAAAAGCAAGAATCTGTTAGAGAAGATTAAGCAACTTTTTCTAGTATGTTTCTTTTAGTTTATTCTTAAAAGTGAATGCAATGAATATTTTTTCGTTAAATATTTATAATTTTCAATGTATGATATGATCATAGTTACAAATGAATAATTAAATAGACTAAATAAATTCAAATATAATAACTTTCTACCACTTCTTACATTTTTAAGCATTTGTGGAATAGTAAGAGCAAAAGCGATAATATTTTAAAATTAATGAAATAATTTAAAAGAATTCTTTAGTTCCACTATTTTAATCATACTATTAAAATAAAATTACAAATTTTGTACATTAAAACATATAGTAATTAAATATACATGTGTTATCAAATGTTAAGCACAATTTCTACATATTATATTTTTGTTACAGGGACTGTTTTGCAAATACTGTCTGAGGCACCGCTACTCACTGTTCCCCCAACAATAAATACTACTATGGTCACTTCTACTAGTTCAACAGCTGTTTCCAGTTTATCCTCTTTCTCAGCTGCACTCTTAGATGAGCAAAATTCCTCTTTACCTAACCTATTAGTTAATTCCAATCAATGTGGAACTCAAGAAGGTATTTGTTCTGAAGGAAATATGTCTGACATTGATCTGAGTTTTTTAAATGATACTGAAGAACCTGTGTCTACTTCCAAAGATTTAAATGATGCTCAAGTAAAAGAGCTGCAGTCAATGATTGACATTGTAGAACCTAACTCTTTAGGAATTATGCAAAACAATCCTTCTCATCTGATCAATGCTGGTTTAGAAACTGAGCAAGCTAAGTCGCATAATCCAAAACCAACAGAAGGTATGCTTTTAAATTTTGTGATTGAGGCAAATATCTTTATTGTAATTTTTTTTTTTTTTATGTTATAGATATGTTATATATAGTATGAAGTAGATATAGTATACATAGTATGGCTATTTTTTTATTTATTAATAATTATTGCTTATTTTTCATTAATTTTTTCATTTTTAATATTTATTAATTTTAGTTATCAATATTTTATTTTATGCGTAAAAGAGGAATCTTTAAAATATTTCTTGGTTTTTTCCCATTATATTTTTATAGTTTTGCTGTTAAGAACTAAAATCTATTGAAGGGTATATTTACAGTATTCTGTTTTCTTTTTTTTTTCCTGGTACACTCTGATACTCTTCCATTAGCCAAACAGATCCATATTTACGTTAATTAACTGCTGATTAATGAAGGCAGCTTTAATAAATATATTATGTTTGTTACTGGCAATGTAAGAATCATCTTTATTTTAATAGATTGCTTGTTTTATTTTATGCTGCGCCACTTTGAGATTTTATAATCATCATTGCACATCCGACCCAATTTTTTGGGTTTACGACCACTAATGTTCAACTCTGTAGATTTGTAATTTTATCCCAATTCAGAAGACAATGATCAAGTATTGGAAGAAATTTGCCTTTGTGGAGGACTCTTTGAAGGAACTGACCCTCATTTGCGTTACTTGGATAGGAAAACCACCAAAACCTCCCACTGTTAGCCTGGCAGCTAGGGGTCTCTAACCCATGATCCGTCTATCACTGAGGATATTTTGCATCAACACTGTGGTTGGGACAAGCCGGATGCGGAATTTGTATCGACCAGCCATCGCTGGGATTCGAACCCAGTTCACCTCATTGGAAGGCGAACGCTCTACCCCCTGAGTCATGGCTCCAGTTTGTCATTTGACATTGTAAAATACCTAATAATTTCATACTTTGTTGGCTAGTTTCCAACATTCTGTAAAATGCTGTAAAATGGCACATTTTAAACTATGCTGGTAACATGGATATATTAGATGCTGAATCAATAAAAAATAAATAAGTAACCTGCAACTGTCAGAGGGAAATAAATGCAGAATAAATAGAAAATAAATAAATGACACGTAACTATCAAAGGATAAAAGGGGAAAAACAATTGTGGTTTATTCAACCTTATAAAAATCTATATATTGTAATTTAAAAGCATTGTTATAAAATGTTTTTTGAATTTTGCAAATATCCTATGATTCAAGTTTTTCCAATGCTAGCTTGTCCTACTTGATCAAGGTGTTCATTAGTCTTCTGAGTTGAATTCAAAATTACAAGGGTTCAAAAGTAAACTTTGATGTTCCTGCAAATGCATCATGCTATTCTGTATAGATGGACTGTTTAATGATGGTGATATAACTTGCGACAATGATGCAATGCTGCAGTTAATGTATTTATTGCATCATCCTAAAATGTAATTATGTAATTTACATTGAGTTTGGTAATTAATCAATTAAATCTTAGTTACTGAAGCATTTTAATATTTTTTTCTACTGCAATTGACATAAAAATAGAAGTAATAGTAAATTCATTTTTGTAAAAATTTTCAGACTTAATTTATCTCTTTACCAGATAATTTTCTTCATATTAAATCTGTATCATTTTAATGCCGTATAAAATATGATTAGATAAGTAGGTACATATTTATTTTTCTCTTTTTTCTAGAATTAGCTTTTATATTAATGTTTTTGAAAAACATATAGGTGCTGGAGATGTTGTTGTTATAGATGTCTCTAAACCTATTCAACTATCTCAGAATTCTTTGATTAAAGTGAATGGTCAAAAGTGTGTGCTTCAACAAGACCCTGAGACTGGGCAAGTCATAGCCTATCCAGTTAAAGACCCAGATAAATCTCATCGCAAACGTGGAAGACCAAAAAGGTAGTGCTTTTTAGAAACTTGCTTTTTTACTATGGACTGGGGAAAACTGAATTTTTCTCTTGTGTTTAGAAATTTGAAACTATTGTCCATTAATGTTAAAATATTGATTCTATCTATTTTACTGTAAGAAATATATTTATCTCATTACTTTATTCTCATTAGTGACTTTTTAAATAATGGCTTAATTAAATGAATAAATTTATTTGTTTCATTCCGCAACTCTAGTCGATTTTATTTCAGCCTGTAAGATTTTTGCTTACTTTGGTATTGAATTTCTCTTAGCCAACTGGTAACTTTTTATTTATTTATTTCACCAATATGTAAATTTTTGTTGATTGACCTCAATTTCTCTAATTTATGGACATTACAAGTCAGAGTTCTTACGTTTTGTTAACATTTTAGGTTTTTATTTACACCTGTTTGGGTGAAGGCTCAGTTGCCACTAGGGAATGGGGTTAGAGATTTGAATGTATTTTCAAATCAGATATAGTCATAATAGTTTACTTTTTGCCAAGATCTGTTGGCATCAACTTTATGTAAATTATGTTTAGTTTAAATAGATTGTCACCTGTACTTATGTGCTAATATTTGTTTGTTTCCCAAGTGAATTTTCTTATTTTTCACGTATCATCATGTTACGTTTATGTGTTACCTTTTGATGTCTGTCATGGTTTTATGCACTGTGTTGTATATATCTTTCAAATCATGTTTGAAACATTGTGAGTGTTTGATTTACTCAAAATTATGCCAGCCTCCAGCCCATTCTCTTCACAGTTAGCAAGCATGTGGCAAACCACAAACCTATTTTAAAGTACAGCACAAGTTTTTAAACTATTGTATCATAGGACTTAGTTCATAATTTTATAGGATAGGATAAGGAGTTAAAAAGGGTATTGAATTATTTATTTTATTTATTTTTTTATATGTTATAAAAGCAACTTCAATGACTGATGATATTAATATATTGAAAGGAATTTTATTCTTTAGCTCTTATGTAATTGCAAAAAGTTGAAAGCAAAAATTGCTTAAAATTCTTACGGAAGGAGATATAAGTATCATCAGAAAATTCTAGCAATATTTCCTGCGATATAATAAATTTAGTTGTATTTAACCAAATATCATACTACATTCAGACCTAATATCATGTATCATTCTGGGAAGTATAGTATAAATCAAAATATTCAATTCATGTTTCATTTATTAGTCATTTCTGTGCTTTATTACAGAAAAATATCAACTGACCAAAACGATAAAAATGCTAGTTTGAGTAGTGAATGTGTACCTGCTGCAGAAGCTTCTGATGAAGAACAAGAAAAAGGTCTTCTGGAAGTAGTAAATGATGGTTAGTACATTCATAATTGTATTTTTGTTTACAAAATAATTATTTAAATTATTTTGATTGTGTAATAATTATTAAAATAGCACATAACTTTTAAAAAATCATGTAAGTTAATAAATTTGACATTAACTGTACCAATGTAAATTTTAAATCAAATCTGTATTTATGTTGCTGTAAATCAGTCACTAAATATGTTTCTAAATGGATTTTTAATCCACAATAAAAATGTAATTCTGAAAATAGGCCTTTAAAGGAAGGAATCAGTATGTTTAAATTTCGAATATATCTAATTACTTGCAAAAGTCCTAGGTTGAGAAAAATATTTTTATGTGGATTAAAAATCCACATAGCCTTTATGTGATGTACTATATATGATTTGCTTTTGTGGATTTTTAATTTGTATAAAAATATAATGCTTAGTGCTGTGAGTCTTTATAGGTTTTGACTATTTTTAATAAGTTGTTCATAGATTTGTTGCTCTGAAAATTTAACTCTATTCTATTAATGAAAAGCTATGATTATCTAATGTTGCATTATATGTATTTTATGTTGTGGGAAAAGTTTTAAGAATATTATAAAATATATATTTACTTGGGAGATTCTCAGTTAGCAATTAAAAGATGTTATATGGCAGATGAAACCATTCAAGTCAAATTTTACTTTATTTCTATTGGTAATTTAAAAATATAAATTAAGAAAAAAGTGAATTCAAATAAACCAATCTTAAACCACAAAGCTTTAAAAGCTAAATGTTTTTTTTTTCTTCTTTTTTTTCAGAATACAAATTATGGTAAGATTACTTCTCCACTGTATTATAATCCTACTTCAATCAGTTTTTTTTTTTTTTTTTTTTTTTNTTTTTTTTTTTTTTTTTTTTTTTTTTTTTTTTTTTTTTTTTTTGGAATTTCAGAAAAATGCAATTATTTTGCATTTTCTGATATTTTGAAAAAGGAAAAAAGAACAGGATGAAGAGTTTCTCCCCTGGTATAGTGTACTCTTAACTGAAAATTGATCAAATATTGTTATGAAAAAAAAATTTATCATAAATTTGTTTGTATTTTTTAATTCATAAATAATTTTTAGATTCTTCTTAATAACTCTAAAAAATATTAGGTATTTTTTTAAAATTTCACTTTTTGAAATTTCACTTTTAATTCTACACTTGTGTTTGTAAGTTTAAAAAAAATCCATGTAACTATAAATATATACTTTCGCCATTTAAAGTGTCAAAAACAAACATTATAACTGGGTTAATGGGGATTAGTATTAATTTTGCAGTTGGACTGAATATTTACATAATGATTTATTGATTTCAGTACAACTTTTCTTGCAACATTTGTAATCCTAGACATAATTTTAAAATAGTTACTTGTCCTATTTGCAGAACTAGGAAAATAAACAGATTTTTTTAACCTATCTAGATTTGCAGGGTTAGCCGTTTATGTATGAATTTGTTTTTTTATTTTAAAATTTGATCCTCCCTAAAGATATATTTTACTTAATTTCACTATTTTAAGATAAAGTACTACATTTTTTCTAAGTTACAATTTTACAATCATAATATAAATGTATTTTAACATCTTTCATGACATTTACTTAACATTTTTTAAAATTCTTTTTGAAAGAAGTGAGAAAGGAATCTGATGAGAAGTCTTGTTAGGAAAGCTCTATTTTATTGCATCTTTTAATGTTTATTTTAAAAGAGGAAATTTTTATAGATGGTTCATTGGTACGTAGAAGTTCAAGAAAAAGAAAGAAAGCTAGAGTTTTGAGAGGTAATTTCTAAATTCTTCCAAATTTAAGCAACTTTTAATAGCTGTTATATTTATGCAATAAATAGTATATATTTTTAGAAGTATATATTTGTAGTAGCATATATTTATTGATTGAAAAGCAGCCAATATCGACCATATTTTCACCATCTTACATCTTGAAATTGTATAGCTTTAACCTCCATAGCCGTTGATGGGCTTTAATTTTTCAATTCATTGTTTAATTGAGATAATTATAATTTAACTGTTCAAACTAGGATTTGTGTTTTGTGAAATTGAAAGTCACTAAAACATACCTTTCCTTTTACTTAATTAAAAAATAAATAAAAAATATCATCTATAATTCTGTTGAATCTTGTAATTTAGCAATAATTTTAGTCTAAAGAATGTCACATTATTTTAATCTTTGAAAAAATCTAATTAATTAGTTTCCATTCATTGCATCTTGTTTTTCTACTTTATTTTTTTTTTAACCATTTACGCCTATTGTTTCTATTTAGGTATGGCTATAAAATAAGATTTTTCTTCCATGTATTTTTCATTTGTTTTTAAATTTTATCAGTGACTACATTATTAAAAAGTAACAGAATCATCTGTCACTTATTAATAATGTAGTCTTTTTATTTTCAAATTGAAATTTAAAGTTTTTTTTTATTTATAAATTTTTTATTTTTTGAAGTATCAAGAAAAACAGTGATAGTCAATTATTTTTTCAGAAAAATAAAATTTATGAATAGTTTTCTTCTTCCCTTGCACTTTAACATCTTATTGCATAAAACACTTATGCACAAATTTTAAAAAAAAAAAAAAAGAGGAGGAAAAAAACTATGATTTTTTTTTCCATGTTGGCAACAAAGAACTTAAATATCAAGCGAAGCTGCAATCATAAAGATAAGCATTTAATGTACCTACATGTTTACAAATTACTGAATGAAATTTTTTTTCTCGCATGGACAACAAAACACTGGAACCATGCCCTAAAAGTTAGTCAGAAATGAATTGTTGAAAGTGAAGAGTTCAAGTCGATAAACAAACTGTTATATATTTTATATCTATATTTTATATTATTGTGCAGGTTCAATAACAGTTTAAACTTTTATTGTAAATTTAATGATGCTTCATAATTAGCATTTAAGGGAGATACATTTGATCACTGAAGATCAGTCAACAATACTTTTTTAAAATTTTTATTTGGCTTTTATTTATTTTGCAAGTTTTTGTTTCAATAAATTGTTACAAGTTTATGTAAGAATAAAGAACATGTTATGCCTTAAACACTACAGTTTAATATTTTGCATATGTAAATCGTAAAGTATACATAGTGAATGAAATGTTTATAAATTTAAAGTTCAACAGGCTTTATAAATTGCATATTTTTATAACAGTATTTTTAAAATTATCAAGATGCATACAAATCATTCAGCCTGGCATATGTAATTTTTTTACGTTTGCATACTTATTTTAACTATTCATAGATTATGAAACTGGTAATCTTAAACAAGAGCTAGGTAGTGATGTTGAAGATTCTAATTTGTATGATGATACTCAATTACAATTTCGCCGAAGAAGACCTAAAGGTCCAGGGAGGCCACGAAAACTTACCCCCCAGCACACTTCATCTACTATTTTTAACGATATGAGAGAAAGTGAGTAAATATATATATAACTGAAGCATATGATTATTTTTATCTCATATTTTCCTTCTTTATCTATCATATGTTTTATGAATAATTTTAAAGTATTTATTTAGGTATATTTGTGTAATAAATTAAAAGTAACTGCCAATTAGCATGTAATGTAGTAAAATAAAAGCAATTTGCAGGCTTTAAATGGTGGCTTTATAGTTGTATAATCTTTTGGAATTTTAAAGTTATTCATATCATTCTAACTGCCCTTTTTGTAAATGCAAATTTTGAAAGAAGTATTTTGCCAAAATTTTGATCATTTTTGTTTCCCTTTCTGTAAAATTTTACTTTCTTTCCTTAACTATTACAAATATAGTATGTACAGTCATCTTATCTAGTACATAAGTGCTTCCACCGGAGTTCTTTCTACCTTTAAACTTGACCAAAAGTACTCATATCTAAAAAATTATTTACTTCCATATTACATTAATAAAAAGAAATATTTTAAACTCAATAAAAATTGGATTAATTATAAACTTGATGAAATTTGAGTTTCATAAATTCTAAGATGTAAATTGAAATAACAAAAAATGAAATTGATAAAACATTTTGAAATAATAATAAATATTCATTATATTTTTTATTTCATTTCTGATAATCATAACTTTATAGTTTTAGCTTATTTTTAATAAACTCAACCTATTTGAGTGTATTAAAGGATAGCTATTAAAAATTTCAAATTCTTTTCTCTTAAGACTTATTATGCATTAAAGCAATCTTGTCAGTTACACTAACCTTCATTCTTACTATTTAATTTTTCATTGCATATTATTACTGTGCTTATAACAATCATATTTTAACTTTTTAACTATTCACCAGGCTTATGATTCTTAATTGGTTTTTTTGCTTAGCTTCACTCAATAAACGTCCTAGGGGGAGACCTAGAAAACAGATTTTGGAAAAGGAACCGACTCAAGCCTTTTTAGTTCAAACTGCAGATGGTCAGACCTTAATGATGCAAGTTCCTTTGTCTAGTATTCCTGCTGGTGTTAGCTTACAAGATGTGGCTCAAAGCATTGCCAACAGATTGAACACAGGACTCAGTATGGTAAACTAATTGTTTTATGAATTTAAATAATTTATTTTTGGATTTCCTTATTCAAAAAGATTATTGTATTTTGTCAGTTTCTTCTAGCTTAATGGAAAATTCCCCTAGTTTTTGTATATTTTAAAAAGTTCTGAAATTGGATAAGTTTCTGGCTAAAATCCTTATCAAACTAAATTTTTTTCACTCAAATCACTGCTTGTATGAGTGATTATATAAAGTACTTTTGATAAATAATTCTGTAAGCCTCTTATTTTAATTAGTTTGTGCAATCTAAAATGTATTAAATATCTATTTCTGTTCATAATTATCAATTCAAAAATATTATTAAAACATTTTATAGCCAATTTAAATTTTTAGTTACTGGCGTTATATTGTTTTTCTATTTTATTGACCCCTGTGTCTAAAAATATTTATATTTCACTTATTAGTTTGCAGAAAATGTGAAATATTTCAAAAAATCAACTGGATTTTTTCCCCCGTGTTAACAAGTATGTTTACAACAACCTATTTTATTTATTTATTTGTTCTTGAAAATTTTTAACTTTCAGGCCAATAACAACTTAATGGCAACTCTAAATGAGTCAGCAAACTCTAAAAGTGGTAACTCAAACCTTCTTTTGAATGGAGAAGGTATATCCACTTCTGAAAATACACCTGAACCAGTTGTTCAAGATCATTCAGTTGGAAGTACTACAAATTTTTCATCTGCTGATCAGTCAATTGAAGAAAGGCTCAGTAGTGAACAGGAGCACAACTCCTGCTCAAATGTCATGTCTCAGATCGAGGAAACGATCGTATGTTCTTCGGATCATTCGCGAATCATAAGTCAAGATGCCATAAATGGTAATTTTAACTTATTGTTTTATGCTATCCTGTTTTAATGATAATTTTCTTCATATATTTAATAATGATTGGAAGTAGAATTATTTTATGAATAAACTACAGTAGAGCCGATGAATAAACTACAGTACAGTACAGTTATCCGAACCCTTATTATCCGAACGTCCAACTATCCAAACTATGTCCGAATTCGTTTTTTTTTTAATTTTTTTTTTTAAAGTTGAAAATACTTTTTATCTTATCGACGATTTTTCTAAACTTAGAAAAATAAATATTATCCACTACATCTGAAGACCATATTTAATTTACAACCTTAAGAAAATCATTTGAACCTTAAAACGTTATAGAAAGCAACTTTTAAGGAAAATGTTATTATCGGATGAACAAAATGAGGGGGATTTTCGAGACTCAATCAAAGCTATTGATTTAAAAGAATGCTGCGTGATGATTGCGGATGCCTGGAATTTAGTAGAAACATCGACGCTTAGAAAATCTTGAAATAAAATTCTTAACAGAAAAAAAAATGAAACTGAACTTTCTGAACCAGTAGATCTTCCGGATGAAAAGATGCCAGGGTATAGATCAGAAGATAAAGAAGACTGACGTCAAGACACTGAAAACAACCCAGGATTTTAAATGATGATGAAATTGTTGCTGAAATTTTGAATGCAAATCAGAACTCCACAAATGAAGAGGAAGAAGTAGGTGATCAAGTTCAAGATAGTGGACCTTCTCATATAGAAGCATGCAATTCATTAGATATTGCAATGATGTGGCTAGAACGTTAAAATGTTGATCCAGTTCAGTTGATTTATTTAAAAAGAATAAAGGATATGGCTGCTCAAAAAAGAGCATCTTCTTTGAAACAAAAGTCTTTGCTGGATTTCTTTTGCAATGGAAAATGGAGAAAACTGTGGTAAAATCAGTAATTGACAAAATATTTATAAAGAGCTGAAATATAATTAAAAAAAATTCGAAATGAAAAAAAAGTAAAAAAAATAATAGATAAAAAATTTTTAAAAATTGAAAAAATAACTTTAAACACGCTTGAGCTATTTCAGATAGTACTGCCAGTCCTAAGACTGGAAAATGTGTGTAGGTAAGTTAGTTCATAAATAATAATAATTTAAACTAAATTTTAAAAACTTTCCAATTATCCAAGCCACGTTCGGTCCCGAGCAGTTCGGATAATCGGCGCTTTACTGTACTTAATTCAATTTCTAATCTTGTGTTAATGTGTTCATGGTGAATATTTAAGTAACATATATTCTCATCGAAAATTATACAAGTTTTAAAAACGTAATTACTGTAAATTCATTCAGTTACACTCAATAATGTATTGTCAACTAATATTTTAATTTTAAAATTTCACTAGAATTTTTAGAGTTTCAAGAAATCAATTCATTACAATAAGTTTATTTTTATTCATAACATGTCAATGTGCATTTATAATTAACATTTTTTATAAATGTATTTTCAGTTTGAATTTGATATAGTTTTGTAAAATAATTTTTACCCATCAGTTTCATTGTAATGCCTGTATTGTCAACAAATATTCTTGTTTTGTAATTTCAGATAACAAGTCAGATAGTTTCATACCTGAAAACCTACTTAAGAAACACTTTCCAAATATTGATGCTGGTCGCTCTGATAATACCTTCTCTACTAACATTCCCACAACTTTATCGTTGACAAATAACTCTTCCATTCTTACTAGTCTTCCTGAATTATGTGTCAATCAAAAGCCAGAACAAGATCTTGTTAGCAATCTTACACCTGAACATTTTACCAAAGACTTTCTTTTAGATGGAGATTTTTTAAAAGACAAAGTAAACTTACAATTTCTTTTACAAAATGTTGAAACATCTGAAGATACAGTGCCTAATTTTAAAACTCAAGCTGTTAATTCAATTCCAGATCAAGAAGATATATGTCTTGACTCAACGCAACCTTTTGTCTCAATTTCATCTCATTCTGTTACAGAAAAAAAAGATACCCCTTTTACTGTGTCAAACATAACAAAACTACCTGACACAGATACGAACTTAATTGTAAGTGTTCAAGGGCATGATTATTCAAATCATGATACTGCAGAATCTAACTTTCACCACAACATACACAGTGATGAGATATCTCGTAAACATGCTATAATTAGTAGTATTGAACATGACCATGACTTTCTCTTTCAAACAAAAACCCCGCCAATTTCTGAAAACTTAACTTCTAGTGCTACTGAGCTTACTTTAACCAGAAGTAGTGTTGATTCTAAAATGCAACATTTGGAACAAATCCTACCATTAGATGATTTATCAACAATTTTTAAAGTATCTACAATAACTGAAAAATCTGCTTCGACATTGGTTACGCAATCCTCTACCGCCACTGTTATTCCTGTAACAGAGGAAGAAAAAGATCAGGAAATAATTTCAATTACTCAAGATGAAGGTAATACTTATTTAGTATTCTTTAACTGTTTGCTTTCCTTTTTTTTTTTTTTAACATTAAGACTTATTTAATTATCTTCAGTTACTTAAAAAAGTATACTTTTGGAAAATTGTGTTGCTTTGTTGTGTTTGAAATATTATTATTATGCCAGCAAAATTTTGAAACAAGTCTCTGGTTCTGTTCTGTGAATGTCAGACACAAAATCATAATATAAGCACTTTCTATTTAAACTAAAAATTTTTAATTTATTTTAAATTCAGAGAATTAACACTGAAAATCAGTGTCTTTAATGAACAGTCGTCGAATCTTTTGTTCTTCGTGTGTCTGACACAAAACTATAAAATGAGCACTTTCAACTATAACTAAATAATTTTAATTTATTTAAAATACAGAAAATTAATTACACGGAGAATTGACTTTGAAAATCAATGTATTTTATGATAGAAATGTATATGAAAGTTATATAAAATTTTATTTTACACAAATAAATTATTCTTTTTTAGGAAAAAAAAAAGATTGTTGCATTCAACTTAAGTGATTCAAATAAGTTTTAAGGAAATAGATGTTTTATTTATGGCACATTTGTTTTTATAGCATTTAAGTGTATATCACTTAGAAAAACTATTTAAAAATAAACTGGAAATAGTAATTAGCCTATATTAATGTAGTTTATATGAAATTACATAAATTAAATGTTAATAAAATATTTTTATTTTTGTATACAATATGAAAGAAAATGAAATCATAATTATCTCTAATTTGTCTAGGTGTTCTAAAGAATATTTAAGAGTGTACCACAAAGCTACATTATAAAACTAATAAAATGAGAGTGTTTTCAATTACTACATTATGAATTATTCAATATTTATGTAATTATAAAAAAGGAGGCAAAACTATAAGTACTCATACAAAATCTAAAAAATCAATTTCATTTTAAAACATTAAATTAAGCATTTTTGCACATGGAATGTTTATAAAACAAAAATATGTGGGGGGGAAAAGCAGTTGCGTATTACAGTTATTAACATTATTTACATAATTCATTTTTACTTTCATTGAGACATTGATATAATTGTGATTTTTTTTCTACTTTAAAATAATTATATCTTGACTATTTCAGTTTCCATCTTTAAGTTATTAAAATCAATGTTGCTATAACCTGGAAGTATTGCTTCATATTAAATAAATCTGTATCCAAATAGGTAGAGTTACCTTTGTATTGGGAGTAAAACAAAACAGTAATTACAAGTAAAAAGTTTCATATAACAGAGGATCATTTTGGTTTTTTACATATACTAGTTCCTTTGTTAATGCTCAAGCAAAAGAAGGAGTGTTTGAATCTTTGTTAGTGTTAGATTCTTTGCTCCACTACTGATAAATATACTTAAGTACAGTGTGCAAAGAAATAAACGGACCACTAAGAAATACTTTTGATCTAATGATCGGGTCTTTATATTCTAGTACTCAATAGTTCAAAGAGGTGACCTCAAATATGCAAATTGATTAGTGGAGATAATATTTTATGTTAATGAATCAAACACAAAAATGTATTATCTCCGAATAAACATACTGTTTTTTGACAGATTCGAATTTCTTACCCCCAAAATATAGGGAATAGCCACAATCTGGGGAATATGGTCCCCATAGTTTTGTTAGGAGAGCAATCCAACCATTTTCTGGCCGTTATTAAATAAACTAATAAAAATAAATTTTTCTGAATATTATTTTTTGCTTAACAAATTTTATAATAGTGTGCAAAAATTTTTACATTTCTCGAGATATGACAAAACGCAGAAAATGAAATTAACATAAAGGGGTCAAAACTTTGGGTCATCTCTAGATCAAACTATTTTTCCAGATTACGGCTACCCCCCTATATTTTGGGGATCAGAGATCTGAATCTATCTTTTAAAAAAGGCATGTTCATTCAAAAAAAGTTTGTAATTGTGTCTTTTGTAACTTAAAATATCATCTGCTCTTAATTAGCATATTTGAGATTACCCTCTTGAACAATTATGATTGAGTCCTAGAACATGAAGATCTGATCATTAGATCAAAAGTTATTCAGGGTGGTCCTTTTTTGCACTGTAATATGAATCTATTCATTTTTGCTTATATTAAATTATTAATTTTGTATTAGATAAGTTTTTTATATTTAAATGTAAGTATAAAATTCTTATAAAAACATTTTTGCTAAATCTTTGTAAAATTTCTTTACTTATGAATTCATTAATAAAATAACATTATAATAATTAAAAATTGTGCTGTCTAAAAGAACTTATTCTTAAATTTTGTTTAAATTTTTAAAAAAATTGTTTCAATTGCAGTTCACAAAAAGTGCAAGATATGTCGCAAGATTTTCAGCACTGAGGACGAACTCATTTCACACTTTAAAGTATGTAATATCAATTTTAGATTGTTTCTGAAAAATTAGCAAATGCTCAGGATTTTTCATTTAATTTATTTTTGCAGCAATAGAAAAGTTTTTTTACTGAGCCTTTGAATCTGTTGTCATTTCCAGGGAAGGATAGCTATGAAGTCTTTTTCTTTTTAATACCACCAGATGGCGTTTTTTTTAAAATTTCTCTGTTTAATGTCAATAAACTCTTACTTTTTGTCTGAATCTTGATCTCCGCAGACCACAGAATCCAAGACAAGAATAATGAAAATGAAAGAATATAGACATTCAAAACTAATAAATAAATGAAAAATAGCATTAGAACATGGGGTTGCAAATGCATTTTAGAGTTGTTGGGAGGGTTGCAATTGTATGTAATATACAAGAAAAATAAACAAAAACCATTCTACATCATTTGATTTCTACTTCAAAATTTTTCAGATAAAAAAACTAAAAAAAGAGTAATAGCAGAATCAGTCACCACCACACTTGTCAAAGTTATTCTCAAAACTCTCTTTTTTGCATCACATCAAACTTATGTCATCTGTGGCAAGATTGTTTTTTTTCTTTTTCTTTCTAGCTTAGGGACATAACACTGAATTACTGATTATTACTTATATTAATTAATATATTATATTTTTGTGTTATAGTCTTTTGTGTTGTGGCACATCCTGCTGTGTTACAATCATTGATTCTAAGCAATAGAGGGGTTTGAAAAATATATGTAAAACTTTTTGTGTGTGTTTAGATAACATAAATTGGTTAATTTTTTCTAGTCTGATCATCCTAAATGTATCTGCAATGAATGCAACTATATGGCTGAACATAGTTATGTTGTAAAAAGGCATGCTTTAAGGCATATGAATGCTGGCTGTGTATGCAAATTATGTGGAAAGCGTTACAAGGTAATTTTTTTAAATTAAAATACATTAGCAATTCTAAATTGTTTGAATTCTAGTACCTTCTTTCCCCTAATAGAAACCCATGTATAAGAGACAGAGAGTGGTATTTTGAACTATACGGACTTAAATGTACACCCCAAAGCATACTTTATTTTTTATTAAAAGCTTACATAAGAAATAGTTAGTTACAATACATGTTCAAATAAATAAAAATATTCAAAATATAATAAAAGTGCTTTTAATTGATTTTTTTAATTAGTAATTATTCTTATTTTGCAATGTAAATACAAAATCAAGATACAGAAAAAGATATGTATATTATCTGCTTTTTGTTATATTTGTATTACTTAAAGAAATTGCCTTTTTTTAGATGGGTTAGTTATCAGTTTAAATAATGTACATTTTTTTAAAAAAAACTTATATTATTATTCTTATCATGTTTCTTTACTTATGCTCTCACCATTGAAATACTCTCTTAAAACGAAAATTTTCGGAATCGCATTTAAGTTACTTTAAATCACTGATTTAAAAAAAAAAACATGCATTTGAAATGTTGATTTTAATAATTTCATTTTTAAATAGTGTCCCTTACTGAGAATTGACTATTGAAGAATGGACATATGAAATTATATATTATTAAAATGTTTTCTATTGTAGACACAGTAGTATAAAAATATCGTTATTAAAATAAAGAGGTTTTGCATAGTTTTTCTCACATTAACATTAACCTTTCTTTCTTTCCCTGAGCAACATTGTGATTTATTGGGGAATTTTTGCACAAGTGCTATTAAGCTAGAGTCTGTATCACTCTTATATCAGTACAAATGTATGGTTGCCCTTGCCATATTCTATCGATAACATCCCAAACACCTGGTGTTGTTGTACTTTCTAAGAACATAAAAGACACATTAATTTAAATTAGCTTTCAACAAATAAAATTCATCGTTTATGAATAAAAAATATTTATTTTTATACATGCATAGTTTTGTTGTTTGATTTTTGTTAGTTATCTTTTGTCAATCTCTTATATTTTGATCTTTGTATCCATTTTGTTGTCTAGTCTGTGTTCATTTAAACAAAATAGGTTTGAAAAAACTTTCGGTAGAGCTTGTAAAAATATCTTTCTTAGAGAAAAAATATTTTAATTTGTAAATTAACGGGGCAGATAATAAATAAGGGTGTAAAGAGAATAAGCCAACAAGCAATTTAGTATTTTCAAGTTATTTTGATCAGTTTAGTATTAAACCCTATTTTTGTTACTAGTTTAATTTTTTAAATATATGTGAGGATTTATTTTGTTTTATTTTTTTCTACTAACTTTGATAGTTATAAAGAGTTTAGATTGAAAGACTAATATTTGACTAGAATATGTTTTACTTATATTTCTTTGTTAATATTTTGATATTTTTTCCCAACTATTTGCCCCATTTATTTCAATTGATATGCTTCTTTTCAGCATTGAAAAGTTCATAATTTAATGTTTTGGTTTTATTAATAACTTATCTAACATTAAATTCATTACATTAAAGAATTTTATTCCTTTCTTTTTTTAGGACCATTACATTTTAAAAATGCATATTAAAATGGTGCACTTACCAGCAGAAACGATGTATACCTGCGAGATTTGTAACAAAAAATTCACACGGAAAGCTCATCTTAAAAGACATCTTAGAATTCATGAACCTGATAGACCCTACAAATGCTCCTTTTGTGAATATAGGTATTTATTATAATAGTATTTTTTATTATTCATTTATTTTATTGAATGTAAATCTTAATAACTTTCAAAAACTTTTTAAAACTAGAAACATTAGTTTTACTCTTACACAGTTTTTGAAATTAAAAAAAAAAATTTACAACAATTTAACAGAAAATAGTTACAGATTAGAAATACACTTGACTCAATGAATCTAAGTCAATTAAAATTTTAAAAAGAAACTGTATGTATGGTTTTAAAATATTTAAACAGCTCTTATGTAAAGGCTAGGAATTTATGAATATTTTTAAGTTAAATGTAAATGATTATGAGTAAATTATTTGAGTGCTAAATATTAATATCGTTTTGATAGTAGGAATTTAAATAATATATTATGTTATGAGAAAATTTTGTGAGTTAATTTTATATTTTAGGCTGTAAATTGATAATGACAAGTATCTTAAAGCATTGTAGATCATAATAAAAAAAAATCTATTTCCAATAGTTATTGTTATGTTGTGTTCTTATTAAAAATTAAATTGGATATTGTTATGTTGTGTTCTTATTAAAAATTAAGTATCCTCTTTAATTTTAATATTTTTATTTACTGTTGTAGGTCGTCTAGTCCTACATACTTTTGATAATTAAGCTTTTACTGAATATAAAAATTTTGATAATACCATAGGTGTTTTTTGATATAATTAATTATGATATATTAGTTTATTACAAATAGTGCCTGTTCTACTATTAAACTTTTGCAGACTTTTATTGTTTTATTCTTCATAAATGTATTTATATATTTTGTTTCTAGAGGATGTGAAAGATCTGATATTACAAAGCATCTTTTAGTTCATGAAACTCCAAAACACAAATGTCATTTGTGTGGAAAAATTTTTCGTCATACAAAAAACATTGAATTGCATTTAAAAAGGTAATATTTTATTCTACCTTTTGAAAATTAAAGATAATATTTACTACTTTAAAGAAAGATAACGAAAATTTGTATTTCTTGACTGTTACAACATAGACATTGTTTGCTCTTGTTCAAATAAACCCTAACCAAATGTTTTTAATGATTTTCAATGATTAGTTACTCATATTGATTTATAATTTCACTTAAAGTACACTCTCTGGGGATAAGATAAGGTATGAGCCAGGTTGATTTTAATACCTTCATAAGAAATTACCAATATCTTTGACTGGCATGCATAATACATTTTGACATGTATAATACAAAAATTGACTTTAGTTTAGGTTTAAATAAAAATTTGGTTTTAGATTTTGTCCTGCTTCCATTTTGATCAGAAAAATTAAGTCGTAAGATTTCTTCTATGATTTTAAAGCAAAGGAGATTTTCTGAGACTTCTTTCAATACTATTCCAAACAAAAAGGAAAAAAAAAAAAAAAAAACACTCTAAATTATCTTATCAGGGTATATTCTGAATAGACAATAACATGTTTCAGCAAATTGAACATGTGTCATTATGTATTGAGATTTTCATACATTAAAATCTCATTATAACATTATATTTAAGTTTAAAATTTAAATGCATCTCTCATTTGGAAATCCTTTTATTATCTCTATCCATAAAAAAACAAAAAAGATTTTTAAATATTTTACAAATCCTTAAAAAATGATCTTTTTACTTTGGAAATGTTTTAGTATTGATTTTGTATTCTTTGTTTCATTTCACCAGGCACTACAAGCAAAGAGATTATAAATGTGGCATTTGTGATTTCTACGGCTACACGTTCACTGACATACGAAAGCACATTGAGAGGAGGCACACTGGCTTAAGCTCTTCTAGCTCAGATCATGCTTGTCCCAACTGTGGTTTAGTGTTCAGTAGTAAAGAAATTCTCGAAGTATGTATCTGGTTTTCAATTTATCATACACGGTGCAATAAATTTCTTTTTTGTTTAAAACTGGTTCTCAAAAAGTAAGAAAGTTAGAAAGCCAATGAAAAGCAAAATCATTATACATTAGATCAAAAATGTTCAACAGTTTTCAAATCAATTTTACGGTTAATTGTTTTCAAAAAAGTAATTTATGCCAAATTATTCAGAATTATGTAGCTGTTGGTATAAATTTGTTACTTGTCTACTGTTTCTCCTTCTCCAATCAAATTTGGAAAAATAATTGGAGCAATGGTCCTTGCCAAATTTCCAAATCCTTGTAATTGCTACTTTTAAGATGATGCTCTACCAAGGAAGAATTTTTTTATCTCAAATTCTTTTTCACCGTGATAAGTAATTAAAAATTTATAGTATAGAAAAATTGAGTTCAGGCAAATCTAAGGTAAGCCATGAAGTTTTAAATACTAAAAAGAAATTTTTTAAATGAAAATAAATTATGAGAATGTAACTTTGGATTATGCAAAGAGGAAATCCTCTCCCAATAATTTGTTTGCAGTTTGATTTTTTAAAATTTTGGTTTTCAGCTATTGAAGCTTTATGGCTTTCTCTTAGTTTGCCTGAACTCACTTTTTCCATTCTTTAAATTTTAAATCAATTATGGAGGTAAAACAGAATTTGTGATGAAAATTTTCTCCCAAGGTATGGCATTCTTAATTTTTTTTTTTTTTTCAAATATATTGCCATTAACCTTTAATCTTTATTTTACTTTCAAGTGGCATTAGAAAGAAGAAAAAAAAGTGTCCTGTTAACAATTTACAATTTGTTTTCATTCCAAAATCTAGAGTTTAAGCCATTGTATCAGTTTTTGGAGTTCTTTTTGTTTATTGCAAGGGCTATTCCCTTATAGACTTTTAAAAAATAACTCTGAAATAATTACTTATTCATATTATTTTTTGACAATCAGTTATTGCAGTATCATATGTCATAGTATTGTTCTCTCTCTCTCTTTGATATAGTTTTAGCCAGAATCCTAAAAGTATCATCATTTAAATAATTAATGAATTCTGCACTTATAACTAAAATATGTATCATGGTAAACTGAAAAATCGTGAAATAGAATCAATATGAAGTACTAAAAAAAATTTCATTAAAACTTTTACCATTTTTTGCAGAACTGATATAAAAAATTTTATAAACTTGGTTTATTAATGGAGATTTTCATTGTTAATGTCTAATCCATTGAAATAAAAATTGAAATTCAAACCCTATTAACGCATTTTAAATTTCCTTAAGTGTGTATGTTTGTTGTTTAATTACAGGGTCTAAATCAAATAGAAAATTTTCCATTTTTATTGAATTTTTAAAATTTGAAGATAAACATTTTAAACAGTTCTCTAAATTTTCAATAATTTATTTCTATAATATTTAGAAGGAAGGATTAAGACTTCAAAAAGTTGTACATATAAGTAACTTAAAAGCCTAAAAATTTTTTTATTTGTTATTATTTTTTTATAGTAGTTTAATAAATTACATAATTTTTATATTCCTTACCTAGTTTAAAATTCCTTTGTCCTTGCTACAAGTATTCCTTGTCAGTCATTACTAATTTTTTGAATTTTATTTTCAGACCCATAAAAGTAATGGTTCGTGCCAAATATGTAATGTTGATCAAGAACTCGCCACAAAAGAAGTTGTTATTTCAACAGATGCTCAAAAGCATGCTTATGTAACTTTATTAGAAAACATTCCACTAAACATATTGGAAGGTTAGTTACTCATGTACATGTAGTGAAGTATATTTATTCTTCTTATTAATTTAGATAGTTATCAGAAACTTAAAATTTGTTTTTATAAGTATAGCAGCAATTTATGATAAATTGTTAAAAAACATCATACTAAAAATTTTGTCATTCGGTTGAATTTCTGTGGAAAGGCAAAGAAATATCTAATTAAAATTTTCAGAATTTAAAAATGTATAAATATTATTTATATTTTTACTTAAAGATAATTTTTAATTTTACCATCCATTTATTACCTTTTAACTGTGTAAACACTTAAAATAAAAATATGAATTCATAATTATGTTCAAAATTGTTCCGACACTCTCCATCAATAGTGGTCAAAATCAGAGAGAATTCAGGATACAGTGTTATATATTTTTTCTTAGGTTAGGGAAAATGTCTTCATGCTTCGAACTCAAATACTTTTTTATCTCACATCTAATGAAAATAATTACCCCATATGCTTTCTCAAATCAACTGTCAAAAATTTGACAACAGTTTTGTTCTCAATTATAATACACATTTTTGATTTAGTTTTAACTCCTTTACCTGATTTTTGATTGGTGTCTAAGCATTCTTATGGGAATAGTGAATAGTATCGATAACCAAATATTGATTGCAGCATCCTTCTATGAATTATTTATTGCCTTTTTCTGATATTATTATCCAAGCGATTTTTAATCTTTATTAATTTTTTTAAATTTATATTTGTAATTTTTCTCTTTTCATTGTGTGATTATTGTTTTTAACAGAATGTCAGAAATTGTTTGTTTAAAAATGAACCACAAAAAAATGCAATATTTTTGTCGTTCATTTTTAAGCAAACAATTTCTTTTTTAATCAAAATTTAATGAACAACTCAGAAGAGAAAATTTCATGATATCTGAATTTAAATTCTTGCAGCAATCTTATTTTGTGTTTACATGTTGAAAACATGATTTTAAAGTATGCATTTTAACTATGAATAACTATCATTGGTTGAGCAGAGCTTCTATGCAAAATTTTGAAACTGCCCAATTGGCTGAACAAGTTGTTTGCTCTGCAAATTTCAATATGTTTTTTCAAAATAATAATTTTAATGTTTGAAAAAAAATTTTTGAAAACTGTCATTTCTTTTTCCCTTCTAAACTTGAAGTGCTAAAACGGAGAAAGATGCACAGAACATGTGCATCTTGGACATGTTCTGTACATGGGCTTTCAGAAAAGAACCTCCTTTCCTTTTCTTTTTCATTATTTGGAGTTCAAAAAATTTATTTTTGTCTTTTCATGTGATAATTAAAAACTTGTTTTCTTTTTATCTAATATTTTGTTCCATCTTAAATTACATTAAATAATAAACAGTTGACAAATTATTTGAGTTCTGTTTTTTAGAAAGCTTTCTTAGAAAAAAAAAATTTAAAATATGAAAATCTTTTGTAATTTTTTTCATGTTTTTTTTTTGTAAAGAATTGATAACAATTATAGTGACAATTAATAAAAATAATGATCTTTTAGTTCTTATTTTAACAAAACTTAAAAATTGCATTTGTCATATATGAAAAAATATATATATTGCTATATTTTTAGATTCATTTATATTCTATTCAGGCCATAAAAGTCAAATATTTAAAAAACGTATAGTTTTTTTTTTTATAGTTGAGCTATTCCATTGTATTTCAATGTTATGAATGCTACTTTTTACGAAGTTTAAACTAAAAAAAACCACACTGGCAAAAAAAATAGTAAAAAAATGTTTATGTACTTAATAAAATACTAATCTTAATTTCTGGATATAAGAGAAAATGTTATCCACTGCTTACAACTTGATTCTTATTTAATATTTTAAATATAATAACCTTGGTTTTCTGACTATAATTCTTCCTTTTTCTAAATTTATCAGTTCTGTTCAAATGTGCTTCTGCTGTAAATTTTTTTTAACTAAATGTAGTGAAAATATTTAATTTTTATTAGTAAATGATTTTTATTTTACTTAATTTTAAAAAGTGCTCTGCTTAAGAGTTGAAATGTTACTGTTGTTCAAGTGTTGGAAACTCTGTTTATTCTCTGTTTCTAAAAGCTCGTGTGATTTTAAATCACTGATTGCTGAAAGAAAAATCTTTAGAATTTAATTCATGAAACACAAGTAATTATAACTACGCAATTTACTTGTAAATAAGGAATGGTGGCATTTTAGGAGACAAAGGGATTTCTAGGAAAATATTCAAAAATCAATCTAACAAATTAAAACTTGCTAGTATGTTTTTTATAAACTGATAGAATTTGTGCACATGTTTGTGATGCCTGTACTTGATTGAGTTTATAGCTCGCCATATGCTTTATCCAAAAGCAGGAAAATAAAGTATGACCAGGGCAATGCACTAACTGCCGGGAGTATGCATAGTTCCATTACAGAAAGCTGACTTAACTATATATTATTTAAAACTCAAACACTCTTACAATGAAGCAAGCATTACTTTAATGATAAAGGCCATAGCGGGCATAAGTAACATAGCGAGCATCAGAGGGTAACACATAAAATAAACACGATGGAGGGTGGAAGATGATAACAGAAATCAACAGTTAGGAGCAAGCAGTAAGCAATAGTATTGAAGAATGAATGACAACTTTTTTTAAACTTATAATTTGACGAAAAGTAAACTATTGTGATTACATCCGATGTAAAAGTATTTGCAAACTATGACGTAAAAAGAAGTGATATGATACAGCATTCGATTGTTCCACTTCCTTTTGGCAGACTGCACATTTACCAAAACAGGTGTGAACAAACAAAAAAAAAAAAAACGAAATTTAAACGAATCATAAAACTAGTAACATTGGCTGATCGTCAAAAGTGGTCAAATGAAATGTTGCATGTTTGATGATTCCATGACCAAAAGTAATCAAACTTATTAACTTTGATTTATTTTTTTAGAACCTGAACAGTCTGAAATTGGCACTTTAAAAATGGGATCCTCTGAAGTCAAATTGAGAACCGATTCTGTTGTACTAAATAATGTGGATGACAGCAACATTCCAGCAGAACAACAGCTAGTAATTAATGGATTTGAAACATCAGATCTTTTGTCTTCTGACGCTATTTCTCTTTTATCCGTAGATAAAGATCCTAGTAAACTAGTAAGTATCATTTTGTTGCCGTAGAGAGCTTTAGTTCACTCATTGTTTTAGCATTTCTGGATAAATGCCACAGTTTAATAATTTATTGGAAAATGTTTTTATGTGGTACACATTTGTGATCATCAGCTTAAAAAAAATTTTAAACAGCCAGAAGTTGTTTAAAAAAAAGTTTTATTATTAAAAACATGTATTATTTAATGGCTTGCTCAAAAAAAAAATAGTTTGTATCAATATTTAACCATAATTTGTTTTTAATCCCAAAGCACCACTCTTTTTCAGGTGCCAGTGACTTGGTTTCCACTGCAATAAAGGACTTGTTTTTCTTTCAAAATCTTCAAAAAGCCCTAATTTTATTCTTAAAGACTAATTGCTCTATTTACTATTTTTAATGCAATTAACTTAACAATTAAAAAGTTCTTGAATGTTGAAAAATCAGTGCATCTGAATATTTAATGCCATTAACTTTTTTTTACTCCGTTTAAATTTAAAATTTCCCAAAAAAAAAATTTCTGTATGGCTTATAAACTAGAACTTATGATTAATATTTAATTGTGTTGTCTTAAACATCACTTAAATGTAAAAAAAAACTATTTTGTTTGTATGCTTTAAATTTGTAAAAACCTTGTGAATTAGGAAAAAAACTTGATTCTTTATAGCTACATTTATAACTCATGCATGATTTTTTAATTATGGAATTAATATTATGGAGAAGAAAAATGCTGAGATTAAACAAGTTTGTAAATTACTGCTAATTGGCTTAAATTTACTTATAATTAAATTACATTTTATCACTAGAAAATTGGCTTAGGCCATTTTGGCCCCGCTTGTTATTTATTGCTGTCATAAATAACTTTTTGAAAGTATTGAGTTTTGGTTTGTATAATTGAAAAGGCAGTGTTCTGTTTAATCAAATACTTTAGTTTATAAAATCAAGTAGAATACCATAATATTTCAATGACTGAGTCTCTAATATATTTTTTATTAAATTAATTATGATTATATTTCAAGATTTTAGATGTCATTCAACTTTTCACTCAAATTTTTCATTATTAGTTTTCAATAATTTATTTTAGGATAAATATACCACTGAAGACTATTAAATGATAAGCCACCCTTTTTCCAAAAGTAACATGTATTCATTAAATTTTACTTTAGAATTTTTTCTGGGTAAGTGCTTTGCAAGTTTCTTGAATTTCAATTTCCTCTTAATAACAGCACTACATACAAAAGCCTCTATAGATAGAGTGGTATTTTTTGCAAAAATTGTTCTCTTGAACAATTTGAAAAGATGAGTTATTATATTTCCTCAAGTCTTTCAAATGTTCTTTTATATTTTTGAACATTTCATGCTTTATAATATTTAAAACAGAGCTATTTGCTTAGATTATTTTCTAAAGATTTTAATCGAGTTACGCGAATGAATTTACAGAGACGTAAAGAATGTTTTCTTTTCCCCTGAAATGTTTTTTATTTTATTTTATTTATTTATTTCTGCTTTGTAACCAATTTTTCAGTTCTCATTTAATTTATAATAAAAATTTTCCACCTATATATATTCTTTCTAGTTTGTTGTTTTAATTCAACTATTAATTGGAACAAACAAAAATAAATTTTATTTCAGGTAACACTTGTTTCAGAGAATGGGAAAAAATTTTCTTACACAAAGAAGGAGTTGCCTGATTACCTTGATGTCTTAGCATCTGTTAATAACACTAGTAATGAAGCAGCTATTTTCTTGGGTGAGATTGAAACAGAAGTGTGTACATAATGTTCAGTGGATTTAATACAGTATTCAAGATTCATATATGACTGAAAACCCAATTTTGTATTATCAGTTAAAAATTGAAATCCTGGTGTGACTACTACTGTAACTGTCCACATTATCAGTATTCTAGACACAATAATTTTTAAATATTTTGACTATGCTGACCACCTACCTAAATATTCAGTTCTATTTTAATGTTTACTTTATAAATTGTATTAATTAGCTTTTTCAGGTCAATATATTATTCTATAATTGATAATTAATCATACATTAAACTTAATTATTGCTCAAAATATTTTAGTATTTGTGTTATAAGCAATATGAGTAGTAAAATATTTTAAGTATGCTATTATAAGTAATATGCAAATTTATGTATTCTTTGATTATTCAATTTTTTCTCGTGACTGCTGTCACTGCAAAATGTAATTGTTCTTTTTTTAAAAAATAGCTGACACACTCATGCAGTATGTTCTGTTATGATCATCTGTCATAGATATTTTTAGAATCCTTCAAAAAAGTTTTGTAATAAAAAAAAACATTTTCCAACTATGATTAATCATACTTATATTTAATAAAAGTAAAGGAAGAATTAAAATAATTTAAGGGCAGCTTCTTTTAAAATAATACTTATAGGTAATTTCTAGCAAAAGGCGAATGTGTTATAGTCTCATGATAAACTGGTTCTTTTTTTATCCCTAACTCACTCTTCACCTGATCTTAATAATGATTTGTCAAACTTTAAAAGTGTTTTTACTCACACAAATATTAGTTTGTGATCCGAAATATATATATATTAAGGAGGGTTGTTATATCCTGTGTAGGTATATACATATACGGAGTGATTATAAAATAATGTTGCCTTCATGTGACCCTCTAAAGAGCATACTGTTTGAGTGAAAGGAATAAAATTTTGTGCCTAAGTATTATGATCGATGCACTCAAGAATGATATTAAATTATTGTCTAACACAGTTCCAGTTACAGTGATATAATTTAGAAATTTTCATAAGGCATCACACATTTTTTTTATTGAAATATAATCCTTGTAGTAAAAAAGTTGAAAGGATACTTTTAGCACAAAAAATTGTGACACAAGGCTTTTGCCCAGTGTCGCCATTTTTGTGACCACTAACGAGAAGAGAGTGTGATAAAAAATTTGTCTTGGAAAAAGCATAGTGTTACAATTTCTTGTGCTCAAAATATTGTTTTAACTCCAGTTTAGGTTTTTAATACCAGAATTACTATAAAAAAAATGAATGGTTGTTTCAATAAAAAAATGTGTGTTGCCATTTGAAAACTTCAAAATTTTGTAACTATTACCGTAAAAGCTACGCAATTTTTTACCACTCTTGATTGCATAGATCATAGTGCATGTTTGCAAATTTTTATTTCATTCACTCTAATGGTATGCTCTCCAGGAGGTTATATGTCGGCAAAATTATTTTATAATCACCCTGTGTATAATATATACTTATATATATATATATATATACTTTTATATATATGTTTATATGTTTTCATATTGTAAATGTGTTGGTTACAACTTGGGGACATCACATGCCAAAGTAGGGCACTTGCTGAGCTTTTCAAGTTGGTTAAGTAATTAATTAAACTGCAGGCATTTCTTTTGCTTAGGTAAATACATTTTTTAAAAATTACAATTTGGAAGCATAAAATTAACACATTAATATTATTCAAGTTAGTAAAACTATTAGTTAAAGTGCTCACAAACTGCTGCCAGTCCATTATGGGAAAGTGTCTTGTGCCGTATGGGATATTTCCTTTCATGGCTTGCTATATAATTCCTTATTTTACAATATGCAAATCCTTAATTGGAAGGCACCCCTGTAATCATATAATGGCAGTCATAGGTTGCTATAAATTTCCCTACCACCCGTTACAGTTCTAATTAGCGTCTGCAAAATAAAAATTTCTAATAGCCAGCTAAGTTAATTTCTATTCCACATTATGGAATAGAAATAAACTTAGAAGCCTTTATTCTTTTATGTTATATTTTACTCAAATATTACACCTATTCTATAATTTTTTTGCACCCTGTATATTTAAAAATAATTGTTTCTTATAGAAGTAATTTTAAAAAATGCTACACTATATAAAAGTTTTTTTTTTCTTTTGAAAATGTGACAATATTAAGTCGGTTGCATTTCATTTGTATTATCTGACAATTTGGCAGAAAGTTATCTTGTGGCAGATTAAAACATGCTATGTCACTATTTAAATTTTAAGAATTACTGATTTTGAAATCAGAGGGGTAAGAAAGTATTTATGTTTTAATTGTGAAGTAAATACTTCTATATGTGCCTTAATAAATTTGTTACATTTGAGTAATATTATTTTTATACTGACATTATGAATTAAATAATTAGACATTATAGATAGAACTGAGTTTTTAATAATGTTTCTTCTTTTTCTGCTGAATATAAGATTTGTATCTTTATCATTTCTAATTAAAAATAAGTTATCAGAGCTTAATAACTATTTTTTGTATGTTAAAAGAACTTTGTTATTTTTCCAACAATTTAGTGGATTATTAGTGAGTTGTTGTGGATCTCATTTCATTTTGTAAATAAATATTGAACATTACATTATAAATTTGACATGTTTCTGTCTAACTTATTGTCTTGTTGTGTTAATCAAATAATTTTTCTCTTCTATGTAGCGTTTTACAGTTTTTGTTATTTATTCTAAAAATTTTTTTTTAGTTTTGTATACTTTTTCATAGTTTTATTTACGAAGATATTGAATAAATTAATTTTGTTATTTGTTTAAATGTGTTTGATTTTCTTTAAAACAACCTTGATTATTTTATACAATGTCATTGCATCTTTTTTTAACAATGCAATTTAAGATACTTATTATTCCTTAGAACTGCAGCTCCCTTTTTTTTTAATCATTTTTCCTATTTCTGGGAATGTTGAAATATTACTACTCTGATAAAAAAAAAATTTCTATTGCACTTTAGAAAATGTAATCAAAACCAACCGATTTAAATCTTTATTAATCCGTATATTAACTAAGATTATAGTCAGATGCTTGTGATTCTGATTTTATTGGTCTCTTATTAGGGGTCATTCACTAATTACAAATCAGTTAAACTGGACTTTATATGATAAATTTTGCTATTGAAGTCTTTCATATTTATATAACTTGAGTAAGATGTAACTTTGTTACTAAGCTTCCATTATTGAAAGATAATTGAACATTTTTTCAAATCCTTACTGTTAGTAACGAGTCAGTCCTCTTATTAAAAGTATAAAATATTCTGTAATTTTTTTCCCCTACAATATTAAATTTGGCACTTTTGACCTAGTTAAGCAGCATTTAAGCAAAAACATTGCTGCATTTAAAACATTTAAAAATTTGCTGCATATAAAAACATCTTTTAATTCTTTTTTCCTATGAGTTCTTCTCTCTCTTTTAATGCTTGTATGTATCTTATAAACCTAAATCTCAACATAAATTAGGAAGTTCAAATAAAAACAAGAGTTTTTTTTTTTTTCATTCTGGAGGGGAAAGTAAAATTAACTTCCTACCTTTTTTTATCTTAATTAACCATACTTAATTATCTGTATCTGACAACACTGAATGTTACATGATATATAAATTTAATTGCAAAAGAACCTTTTTTATATCTTATGCTTTCATACGGCATATTAATCAAATCCGCAATTTAAATTTGAAATTAGCCGGGCACAAGCGAGAAATCATTAGAACTCCACCAACTTTTTTTTAAAAAGTTTTCTATTTTATAGATTTTTCAAATAAATAAATAGTTGAATTTCCTTGCTCCGTTAAGTAATAAAATTTGTGTTTGGTGACTTGTCAAAGTTAACCTTTTACCTAATTTTTTTTATTTTTAACCAAACTAGCTCTAGCTATAACCAGAGATTGTTTATAATAATTCATTTTTGATTGAAGAGGACCTTTTTCTTCCGTAGGAACTGGTTTTTAATTTTAGTTATTTTCACCAAATACCTAATTTAATAATTCCTCACATCAAAATGAAATATTATTAGATTTTAAAAGAATAATATTAATTTGGTGAATTTTTCATAATTCAAAAATATATGAGTTATGAAATTTATCAAGCTATTCAAAAAGAGAAATTAGTTCAATATATCTGAATTACAGATCGAAAAGAAGAAAATGGAAATAACTAAGGTAAGACTTGTGTATATATATTTTTTTTTAATATATATAAAGCAATTTTAAAAGAATATTAATGGTTGTTGTCGCTAGAACTGTGCAAAAACACCCATAACTATTGTTTGGTTCAAAAGAAATAGTTTTCTTGTTCTGTTTCTTGATTAGGGTTCAAAATTTCCACTCGCTTGTACACCATTGGCGATCGAATATTTAGTGCTGCGAGTAAGTTTTGTGTTATAAAATTTTGTGTGTCTACCTAATTTCGGTTAACAAGTAATAAAAATGGAGAGCATTAATTTCAGATTTTAAGAGGGAGATTAAATTAGATATACAAAAATTTGCATCGCAAAAAGAACAACAGTTGTGTTAACAACTCTGAGTTTTTAACAACATGGCATCACCATTCAAAGAAAAATTCTTCAATTTGAGATAGCGGAGATAAAGAAACTCCCCATGCATTTAAATCCAAATCCCTCTAATGAACAAGTGGTTGTGTGAGCGAAATTCAGTTTCATGTTCGCTTTACTAATATTAACTCAAACCAGTAGTAGGAAAAACTAATTTTTTTTTTTTTGTAGTTAATAACTACTGTTAATGCCGGCGGCTCATAATGAGGTGACCAAGACTCTAATCCCAGCAGTGGCTGGTTGATACGGCTCGCACTGACTACAGTGCTGACGTGTAATATCTTGAGTTGTAAACGGAAAGTGGGTTAGAATCATCTTGCCGTCAGGCTAACCATAGTAGGCTTTCGTGGTTTTCCTATCCATGTAACGCAAAAACGAGTTCCATCAAAAAATCCTCCACAAAAACTAGTTTCATTCAATACTAAAATGGAGTTCCCTAAAGAACTGGAAAACATATTTCCAGTTTATGGAAATCAGCTTATTCATTTCCAAACTATGAACTAGAGCAGATACCACTCCAGACCAGACCTGTAATTTTTTTTTTTCTGACATGAAACCCAAGTTTAGGAGGAGTATTGATAAAACGATACGATGCAGGGGAACCCATCAGGGGGAAGGGTGGGCGCACGATGCGCCCACTTAAAGCTTGGGGGGGGGGGCATTTTTACACTAAATAAAACAAATAGTTTGGGGGGGGGGGGAATTTAGAAGAGAAAATTTTTTTTAAGTACATAAATAAAAGAAGCAACTGGCAACGCAAGCAAAGTAGCACTATTTCGAACAAGCTAACATGGAAGGGGGAAGTTAACAAATTTTTTTAGGGGGGGATGGATGCGCCCAAGAGCTTGGGGGGGATGGGGGCCACTGACACGATGAATACATTTCATGCTTCATACACCAATTAAATATTGTTTTTAAAATACTTAATAAAATTTCAACCATTAAATATTTTTTTAAATAATTAATAGTCGTTCTTTGATAATACTATACTTACAATTGCTTATAAAATTTATTCATTTTTTCTCTAATTTCCGCCAAAAAAATCATTAAAAGTTCCATACCCGCTGGGGGGGGGAAGGCATGATCCAAAAATAATTCACTATATGATAGGAGTGGACAACTTGCAGTCCTCCAGCAATTGATGTGCGGCCGTGTTTGCACCTGAACATAAAAAGAACTATTATAACGTTTTAGGGGGGAGATAAATAGAAAAAATCGGAAATTTAATTTGCTCATTTAAGATAATGTGGTGCTAATCAATGTAGTTTTTCGATCGCTTTTTTTTGTGTGGTTATCGCCGCGAATTTTCAGAGTTTCAAAAATCCCAATATTTTTAATACGTAATAATTATTATGTTTAAATTTCGAATTATAGTAATCGCTTTTGATGTTCCATATTTGAGTCCATTTCATAGTTAATTCAAGTGACTTTTTTAGCTTTGTTTTCGGAGGTTATTTTATTTTATAACAGTCGTTGAACAGCTCACCCAATTTTGGGTTTACGACTACTGACGTTCAACTTCGTAGCCTTGTAAGTTTTAACCCAATCCAGAAGACAAGGGAACTCCTGGATGAAGTAGCGGGGGAAATTTTGCCTTCATTGAGGACTTTTTGATTAAATTCACCCGCATTTGCGTTACATGGTGTGGAAAACCACAGAAATCTCTCATTATTAACCTGCCGGCAAAAAGACTCTAATCCACGATGCGTCTACTACTGAAGATATACAGCACTGTGGTAGGTGCGAGCCACGTGCGGAATTTGTATCGACCATCCATCACTAGGATTCGAACCCGGTTCACCTGATTGGAAGGCGAACACTCTTTCCCGGAGCCACCAAGTATTATCAAGACAAATTTCCTCTCAACTAGGTAAGTATATACGATGTACATACACATTTCTTCCTTTTATGGGCCCCTCAGATGTCGGAGTCCACAATAAAAGGATGGTTGATTAAAACTTAAGCATTTATAATTGAATTAAAGTCAGTTTATCCCACACTTTCTAATTCCAAATTCCGCCATTCCATCGCAATTATTAATTTTTTATTAATTCATTATAAAATAATATAAATTAAAGCAAAATGAATTATTATAAATGCCTGAATGTCTCTTCATTGTGTTCTTTTCTCATATTGTAATTTTAAAATATTTGTGCTAATAGGACATTTAGAAATTTTACAGGCACCTAAGTACATGTACGCCACTGTTAATAATGGATAGCAATTTTGATTTAAAATATTTATATAGAATAGATTGTTTTCGTCTTCTGATTTTAGACAAAATTTCGTAACCCTGTACTTTATGAAAGACAAAGATTTCTAGAACAAAAATGTTTGAACAACAAATTCCCGAATCGTAGTAGTTTTTGTGAGAAGAAAATAAATTAAAATACAATGCCTTTTGACGTCATTAATAACAGTGAATGTTAATTTTAATAGTAGGTTGTAATTTAAGGAAATAAGGGGTATGATAGATATGTGGTCAATAAAAGGGGCATTCTTCTCAAATGCACGACAAGAATTTTTAAAGTGGAATTGCTCTTTTGTTGGGAAAAAAAGTACTTGTTGAGTTAAAGTTATGAAAAAAGTGCTTGTTGAGTTAAAGTTATGAAAAAAGTTCTTGTTGAGATGGGACTAAAATAATTTTATCAAACTTGTACCAAAACTATGATTATAGGGGCAAATTTGAAATTTAAGTCAATTTAGCAAAATGGTGTAACTACAGATAGTGGCTCAAATGTAAATAATATTTTTATCTTTCCTATTAATGAGCCAATTTCCTTAATTTGGTGTCATTAGCAGAAAAGAAATTTAAAAATTGTACAAAATATATAAGCTAATTTTGATACATTTCTTTTATCAAGATTTCTTTTATCAAGGTTATTTGAAATTGTCAAGTTTTTCAAAATTAGCAAAGGTACAAATAAGGTACTGTAGCTCAGTGTCGAGCATCTGGAATGGGCGTGCGATCATCATTGGCGGAATCTCTTGGGGATTTTGAATAAGATGCGAACTTTTCGCCCTAAATTATATTTTAACGTTTAAGATTCTAGAAAAAAGCTTGGGCTTTTTAAACTAAAATTTAAACTCTATTACAATTTTCACACTGGGTGTCGAAACTGATGAAATGATGATCTTCTTCTGAGTGTGTGAGGGGATCGAGGGAGGAGTTTATCAAGAAACTTTTTGATCTTAAAAAAGAGCATATTCAGCTACAGAAAAATAGTTTACTGTTAGATAAAACAGTAAATTATTTTTCTCAATTCATTCAAAAATCTGCATGTTTGTTTTCGTCTGAGATGTGCAAAAAAATCATGATTCGCTAATTTGCAGTGATGGGTTGGTTGCGCATGTGCGTCAACATCGTATCATTCTGAAAATTATTCCAAGGTTATCACTGGCAAGTTGAAGTAAAAAAAAACACAAATAAATAAAAGAATTAAGTCAATGATCAACTATTAAAACCTATCTTTCATTTTTTACCACTTTAAATAAAGAATAAATTCCTGCATATTTTCCGGATTTTTTATTATAATTTTGCTTACTTTGATAATTTGAAAAGTTTTCTAAGTTTTCTTGACTCTGCTTTGTTCTAAATTTAATACAATATTTGATGATATTTTAGTCAAAAAAAAGGTTTTTAATTGCGTAATACTATTATTTTTTTTAAGTCAGTCAATGCTCTCATTGCGTTGAAATGAACTGACGTCACTACATGTCTACTGTTCCTCTGATGCTTTTTCTTCACAATCGAAAAGAAAGAAGTTATATTTAGACATAACAAAATGACTATTTACTGCGTTATTGTGATATAATGAAAAGCTTTTGTTAATTTTATAAAATTTCAACATGTGTTGTCTTTAAGTTTTCCCACGATTGAAAAATAGTAGATACGTCTCAGTATTGCGATCCTTTTAAATCCTACTTTCAGGTATCTAGTTCGCTTACTGTATTTCTGCTTCAAATCATATGTTGATGTTTTAATAGGCTATGTGAAACATTAATTGTTGTACATTAAATGTATTTAGTTTCCCTTATCATTAATAGTTTGGCGAATAAGTTTGTATTTTTACTTAATTCTACCTATTAAGGAAATAATTCAAGATTATTTAAATATTTTATAGGTACCTATAATTAGTTATTAAATATTTGCAATCGGTCTTGCTGTTTAAAATTTTGTGATTGTAATAATTTATGGTTTCTAAGTATTGTAAAAATTCTTTTTTGCTAGATTTGTTGATACATTATTATTCTGCTAATTAGTGAATAATATCCGCAAAGTTCAAGTGGGTTCTGAACGTAAGCTATTGGACAAAAATTTAAGCTAATGGGTGAGTATACACTAATTCATTATTTTTTATGACATTATATAATATTCTTATTAAAAGGAGTACTACTATATTGTTGGCTTTTTTAAATAAGTAATTTATTTAGCTTTAAACAAAACTATCATTAATCAAAATATGGCTGAAATTCAATGAATCAGTTGTAAAACTTTGAGAAAAAATAATAATTATGTAATAACATCATTGACTCATTTATATACTTGAATTAGCTCATACATTTACTTTTGTTATCCCAAAGTACTGCTACATTTTTTTCTTTCTTCATTGAATTTTAAAACAATCTCTTATATTTTATTAATATTAGCACTTTATGTTATAGTTTCTGATATTTACATCTCTTATTCATATTACAACCTTTATCTAACAATCAGTTTTATTTTATTAAAAGATCAAGTTTTAATACTTCAATTATTTTTATGAAACATTTTGAATTTAGCTATAAACCTAAAAATTTTTATTAATAGCATGTATTTTAGTGTTTTTAAAATTCATGCTCTTTAATGGTCGATTTATGTCCTGATTTGAGAGTTAAATCAATATTTGTTTTTATAATTTTTTGATACTTGGCCTAAATTATAAGAATCTTTGATTTATTATTTTTCAGTAATTAAACTTGTATTTGATAAGTGTAGGTACTTACATCTAGTGTTGGAATAACTTTATACTTTTGAAAAGTAATTCTTGTCACATTGTTGACCTTATGTATTACTGCAAACTTTTCAGACTTTTTTTTCTTGATTTGTCAAAAAATTCTTCAAATTCTCGATATAAGAACATCTAGTATAGTTAGCTTATACTCCAATAGTAGAACCTACATTTAACGATCGAGTATTAAGTAAGATTCTTGGTTTAACAAGTAAAAATATAGCCTTTTGCAGTGGCGTACGAAAGGGAGGGGTTTAGGGGTTTGAACACCCCCCTTGAGCTCAGACAAAATGGCAAAAATAAAACTTTAGTAGAAATTATGCGGGTATTATTTCAGACTATATATTTTTATTTGCCTTATGCCTACCTTTTTTTCTCACGGTATTTCTCAGAATACTGAAAAAAACATTTACTATAATAGAGTTGTACTTTTGAAACCAAATTCACGTGATACTGTTATGGACTGGTTCCTTTCTGTTCTGCCAGTCGCGATAGTTTTCGAGACTGGCTGTCATTTGCGAGGTCTTTACGCGATGATTCTGGAATCTTAGACGTTCTGTCGTCTTTGAGACAATTCGAGAATTATGGAGATGCGGTGAAAAATTATATAAAAGGGGGAACGGAGTACAATGCAAGTTTTACTGTTGTACAGAAATGTGATACTTCTGTTGAAGAAAACGTTTCTAGCATAACAAAATCTGATGAATGTGAAAGTGGCCCTCAAAGTGTTACTTCCCACCCATATGACATTGGACTTTTTTCAGAAGATATTACATGCGAGAAGATATTACATTATGTTCTAAAAAATCAAATCAAAATTTAACTAAACAATGTTGTCGAAATAAAAAGTCAAAACTGTCTAGCTGTCTAAATTAGGGAAATAATAGTGCTTTATTACGTACTCGAATTTCTTTTAGTAGCTTCAGAAAATTATGAACACCCACCTTGAAAAAATTCTGCGTACGCCACTGGCCTTTTGTTTGGTACTTTTTAAACAGTAATATTTCCTCTTTTTCTCTGATTTAACACGGGAAACAATTATGAAATACAGTGAAACCTAAAGACCACTTCTACGTAGCGACCTCCTCTATTTACGACCACTTTTGGGTGGCACATGAATTTTTTCCATAGACTTTGAGTTGAATAAAACACTTAAGAGAGACTATCAAATCCTTTTCCAGTGACCAGTGATCTTTTGAGAAAATTTTTCACCTTTCATTTTGAAATCAATGTAGGTAACCTCTAAGACTGATCAACCTCCTTAACGACCATTTTCTTGTGGAACAGAGATTGGTCACTCCCGAGAGGTTTCACTGTACTATAATTTTTTTTTATTTAAAAAAATAGGAATTTATTAAGGTCGCAATGGTCAAAGGCAGTGCTCCCCAACCTTTTCAATGGACCTGTGAATGTTTGATGATTTACCACGCCTCTCCGAGGAGAAGCGTGTTAATTCTTTATATTTTTGATTTAATAATTTTAGTTTAATTGTATTGAAATATGATTTCAAAATAAAATACATTTACATCCAAAATGAATTTAAAGTGATTTATTATTTCAACTCACTAGAACGCTAAATTGAGCTTATTTCTTTGAAATCAGACAGTTCTTTCTGGAAGTAATAGGAGACAATGGCACCTGAAGTGTGTTGCTTATATCCAGTTTATTCCGTTGTTTCAATTTAGTTGCTGCCATTGCAAAAAACCTTGCTTCGCACTGATGAGCATTGGCAAATCAGAAATAGCAATATAGCAATAGATCCTTAAGTGCTGTGGTTGTAACTTCAGTGTATTTCACCATGATTTTAATACAGAACGCCAACAGAGTTGTTGTTCCTTATGTAGTTTAAACGTTACCAATATTTGCAATCTTTAACAACTGACCTTCTCGCTTAAAAATGCTAGATTCTCTTGATTTGTTGAATGTAAATTTTATATAATTGCTCGGTTTAAAAAAATATTGTTAGGTTATCTCAAATTTCAGAAAAATAAATGAATGCTATAAAAACTAAATTTTTATATATTTAAAAAAATTATAATTTTTTTTTCTTCTAAATCATATTAAACATACATTTATAATATTTTCCTGCAAAATAAGTTATATTTGGAAAGGTACACGTACTGAAAATCTTTGCTTTTATATTATTCTAAAAAAAGATTTCTAACAAAAATGTGATTTTTCTTTATAACATACGTGTTTCTGATTCTATTTTGTTATCTTTCATTTAAATAAGGCCTGGTAGCTGGGTGGTAATGCTTTGCATACTTTATCACAAGTCTGGGGTTTCATTCCTGCATTGGGTTAATAAAATGAGTACCATGCATCAGGGTTCGTTGATTTAAATCAGCTTGATTTAAATCATGATTAAAATCAAATGATTTNTAGTTTAGTTCCATTTAGATGGAAAATTTGGTGTCAAGCTTTGGTTGAATGAATGTTTCATCCTCTAATAGGTAAAATGTATATGATTTGCATCAGAAGGAAGTGAAGCACCTTAGCAAAATTCAGAACAAAAGTTATTTAGATTAATTAATATTGATGATGGATTATTACCATTTTTTTTAAAATTCAATTTCATATGCAGAAAATTTTGTATAAATAGCAGTGAAGAGATCAAGATGCTGTGACAACCATACTTTTTTTTTTTACTTACCTTTTAAATTTGTGCTCTATTCTCATGTTTGTGCAATTTAGTTGTTCAAAATTTCCAAGTAATGAATAAGTGATTATAAATTTTTTATATAGCTGTCAACTTTTACACATCCTGTACAAGAGTTTTCCTCTTAAGAAAACTACAATTCAATTAATTAATTTATTTATTTTGATTTTACAAAATTTTTTCATGTACTGCAAAATCTTCCCGTATGATTGTTGTATATGTATTGAAATGTTTGACTTTTGACTTTAGGTGTCTATTTTTTATAATAAAGAAAAAATGACTGACTTGGACACTACTGTGATTCCACGAGCTCGATCATTCGGTAATGACCTGATATACGAGTGGAGCAAAAAGTTTGAATCTAAAACATTATGTAGCTTAGACTTTAAACAGCACTGGGCCAAAAAAGTGCCCATTATCTATAGCCACTCTCCAGATGAAGAAATAGTTGATTCTCAAGAAGTTTTAAGAAAATCAGCCCTTGAGGAAGAAGAACTCTTTGGACCTCTTGAACAATTCATTTGTGGTGATGAAAATGTTTCTTCAGTTTTTGAACAGCTGAAACTGTTGAATGACACTCCATCTCTGTGCGGTAAAGTTTTTAAGTCTGGGGAGCCAACTTATTCATGCAGAGAGTGTGGATTGGACCCCACCTGTGTTCTATGCATAGTGTGCTTTAAAAATAGGTACATTTATTTCTAATGGTATTATTCTTAAAAAATATTTTTGACAATGATGTACATATATGTCTATTTGTGTTTAATTATATCAGGGGTCTGTCTAGATGAAATCTGGGTCCGGACCCTTCACAAAATATCTTTTCGTAAAAATGGACCCTTTTCAAAATATTTTAACTTAAAAACGAACCCTTCACAAAATAATTTATCTTTTAATCGGACAAACATCGTGTGTACATTCTTATTGATATTCAATGATAATTTTTTTTTGTAAATAAATAAATGATAATTAATTGATAACATAAAATTAACCGATAAAATATTATGTAAATAAAAATTATGTCAATTTTTAAAAAAAAAAATATTATAAATTTAAGAATTGTTTAAGTTTACTTAATGTGTAACACATTAGAAGTGATACATAACTAAGTTGTGTTATTTAAAAAATATCAATTAAAGTTATTAAAAATGTGAGTGATTTTGTTTCCATTATTGATCTGAAATGAATATTCTGCCTTCAGCTGTATAGGCTAAATACCATATATTTGTATGTTGCATCTCTAATTTAGTAGCAGCAATTGCTGTTTATTTAAGATTTAATTTATTATTACTGTAATTGTACGGTGTTGAGCATAATCTTGTATCTATTTACGATTTTAAAACTCCTTGAAAAAGTTTTTTTTCCATAATCGGTCCCTATTTACACAAATTCACAAAAGCAGGAACCTGGTTGAAAGAATGTGACTTAACGTTTATTTTATATTCACAAATTACGAGTAATTTTTTCACAATTTTACAAAATCAGGACCTTTCACAAAATGTCTGAACAGACTGTGTGCATATATACAGGGTATATGCATACCTGGAAAGTCATGGATTTCGGTATTGAACAAAATTTGTCATGAAATATCACGATTTAAACTATTTTTTTAAAAAAAAATTATGAAAAGTCATGGATTTAGGTAGCTGAAAAATCTACTTTTTAAAGTGGAATCTCCCAATTTCATGGTGTTCTGAATATCTGAATTTGTAGCAAAATCCCCACTCACAGTTATATTTGATTAAAGTATAAAATGTTTTTATTGTGTTCTTTAAAAATTATGGTGTTCTTTAAAAAAAAATGAACGAAAAAACATTATTTCTAGAGTGAATATCTTTTTGATTTCAGAATTTTTTTATTATTTTTATTTTATCAATTTAAAATTCTACCTGAAGCAAGCCAGTCATTGGCGTATTTATTTATTCCAAAATGAGAACAGAAACATCAGGAGTATTTCTTTTCTTTCCGATGAACGAGAAAAAGTATCTTTAGAATGTAATTCTGCAGAGAAATTTTTTTTTTGGGTTTTGTATTTTTTTTATAGCTATTTTATTGCTTCAAATCTTTCTTTACTCTGTTTTTTAAATTTAAAATCTATAAATATGAAGATGCAGAGTATAACAGTTTTGGTTATACCTATCATTTCAATGAATGTTTTAATGCTTTTTTTAATTTATCGTTGTGTTTTTGTCTAAGAAAATAGTAACTTCGTTAAGTCATGAAAAATTCTTGGAATTAGTCATGGAAAATCATGAATTTGAAAATCTGAAATGTAGCAGATGCCCTGTATATGTATATTTGTGTTTAATTTTTTAACCGTTTTTAAGCTTAGTTAAGAAATTTTAAGTTAAAGAAATGTATTGAATTAAATGATTGAAAACCACTATAGAGCAAACATGACATTTACCAATGTCATGTTTGCAGACTTCAAAAGCATGTTCTCAGTTTATAAGAAATCATCAGTTCTAATAATTTTTACTAAAATCACTCTTGGTCAAATTTACTTTTATCCAAATTTTATTTAATTTCTGAAACTTAAATTTTGAGTTAAAAATTAAACTGTTATAGATGTTTTTAATTTTTAAAATTTTTTTAAGACTAATGAAAGTTACCAGTAATTGGTGCAGGTATAAATGACACCAAGAGTTATTTTATTAAAATTTATCAAGTTTTTCTTTCTGAGTTATGTGCTTTTAAAGTCTGTAAATGTGTTATTCGTAAATGGTGAAATAGCCCTAATATTTTTAAGCCCATTTTTCTTTCTTATAACCAATTTTTATTGCTAAAAAATTAGTGATTAAAGAAAGCAGCACATAGTATCTATCCTGTGCCTATTATTCTGCAGTAATTTTCAGAAATTTTTGTTAGTTCTATTATAATATGACATTCTAAGAAATTTATTTATCTTAAATACCATTGTTTTATCTTAAAATTTGTATCATTGTAAAACATGAGGTGAATTCTTCTTTCTTCTTGAGGTGAATAAACTTTTTCTTTCTCATTTGTATCTTGTGTAAGATGTAACACCAAAAAATTTATTTTAATTTTTTATTCAATTCTTATTCAAATTTTATTTAATAATAAGGTGGATATGTGGGAAATATGTTTAGAAAAACTGTCAGTGATTTTAAAATGTATGTTACCATTTAAAAGTTAAGCATATGATTAAAATATTAGGTAACCTTGTTATCAAACATTTTTATTTATTTATTTTTTAGTACATTATACTTGTATTATCTACTTTAGTTATAATTTTTTCTATTAATTTTAGCAACTCTTATTTTTTATTTAAAATTTTTCTCAATAAAAATCAGTAGTTTCTACAAATATTTGTGAGAAATAAATTATCGAAATGTGAGAACTGCCGCTTAATTAACTATTTTAAGTTTCATATTAAAAAATTTAATAAAATTTTTAAAGATTAAAACAAAAAGTAGACATTAGCTCTCATTGGACTGATGGTAGAAAATTGGTTTAAATCTTGCAAACATATTTTAACTTGCGTAACAGTAACATAAATTATTTTGTAAATATTGTTAAAAGTGCTATGGAAAATATTTATTGTGATTTTGCTTTTTAGTGAACATAGAAATCATCGGTATAAAATGAGCACCAGTGGAGGTGGTGGTCTTTGTGACTGTGGAGATGAAGAAGCCTGGAAATATTATAGTTACTGTAATTTCCACCATGCAAAATCTCAGGTTAATTAATTTCTTTTATGCCAGTTATTTGAGATTGTGATCTAGTATGATTTCATATTATTTTTTGCAAATGATCTTACCATAGTAATTATCGTTGATGAAGATTATTTGAATATAATTTAAATTTTAAGTTGGATGTAATTCCAATCTATTCAATATTTTCTGATTAATTCAGGGTCATGCTAAGGTTTTAGAGACTCTAGGCAAACCAAAAACTATAAGTTGTGTATCCAAATTTCTCGATATGAAGCACACTGAAATTTTAGTAGGAAAAGAAATAAACGTTATAATAACTAATGTTGATTACTAGCTAAAATTTTCAACATTGAAAAACACAATTACATTAATTGCTAAATCATAAAATTATGAAATTTTAACTGTAATTATTAATATATGTAAAATATCACAGTTACAAATTTGAAATTTAATAAACTTATGAATTAACTAGAGTTCACATTTTCAAGCATGGTTGTGGATAAATTATAAGTTGTTAATGGCTTGTAACAGGGAAGCATAATTTTTTTAACTGTGGTTTTACCATAAAGCATATGAAATCATCATATAATCAGTTTATTTGATATTTATAATAGTTGTAATTATGTTGAAAATATATCTTAATAATTGGCCAAAAAATTCATCCTTGTATATAACATGAATTTTATTTTATTTTAACAATAGATTAATATTATATAATGGAGGTGTGAAATTGTTTTATTTGCAGAAGGATTTTTGTTTTTATATTTTTTCTATGTTTTCAGAACTTTTTGCTGTCATGTGATTCTTTTTCATATAAACCTTTTTTTTTAATTTAAAAAATAATTAAATTTTTTTATTTCAAATTAAATTTTTTGGAAATGAAAATTTAATTTTAGACTATGTAGTATTGAAATGTATGTTTGAATTCTGATGTCCTAATGGGTGTCAAAACTTCAATGAAATAGCAAATAAAATTATTTATGAAGGGTAGGAGTCATTATATTAAGAGGACCACTTTATAAATGGTTCTTACTGAAGAGCTATTTCCAGCTTTCTAGATTATTTTCTAGAAGGCAAAAGAATTATGAAAAATAATACATTTAAATTATGACTATTTTTATTAATTAATTTTATTTCTCCTAGCCCGAAGGTGCCAGTCCACTGGATAAGTTGCCTGCTGATTTAGTTGAAAGATTAAGATTTGTTTTAAGTGTTGTCCTAAACTATTGCCATACTATGCTAACATGGGAGCATGCTATTAATTTACCTGTAGATCTCCAGGATCCTAGTCACCAAGCACAAGACTCTGAAGTGCCAGATACATATTGCACTGTTCTTTTTAATGATGAAACACACACATATGAACAGGTAATAATAGATTTTAATATTTGTATTTTTATTCCTGTTGTAGTAAATAGTATTTTTTTTCCGATTTGTTTGTTGTAGTTTTTTATATTTTATGTTTCTGATTTATTTTCTGAGATGCTTGAATGAATCTTTTTCGTATACAGGTTGGTTATAGTTTAAATTACCATGTTTAGAATGGAATTCATTTTAGTTTACGAAAATTGATTATATTTGATATGTGAAAGAAAAAAGCATCCTGAATAATTTTTGTTAGATCTAATGATCAGATTTTTGTATAATGGGGCTGATTAATTTTGATTCTTAACTCTCAAAACATGGAGGGTAGCTCACATCTGGAAAATATTTTTCCAATAGTTTAGACAAAAAAATGGTCGAAAGTTTGAGCCCCGTATTAACATTCTGCATATTTCACTATACCTTAAAAACTAATCAAAAATGTTATGCATGCAATTGTAAAATTTTAAAGATAATAAGTTAATCATAATAAAAATTTAAAAAATGACACCCGGTGGCTGAGTGGTAGCGCTTTGCTCTCCTGTGCCTGGGTTCGATCCTCAGGCCGGGCAAGGTTGACTCATCCTTTCATCCCTTCAGTGGGTCAATAAATGAGTACCAAGCAAGCATGGGAACTAAACACTGGGGGTTTCGCGTTCGGCTGACCACCTAACCAGAACATCTGCTCCGGCACCCCAAGGTCAAGAAAACTGAGATGGGCACAGTAGGCCTTTGCCCTCTATGGGCTGTTGCGCCTCTGAGTTTAGTTTTCATAATAAAAAATAATAATCATAATAAAAAATTATCATCAAAAAATTATTCTTTTATAATTTTTCATTATTTAATTTATTAGCAATCTAATAAATGTACAAGTCTGTAATTTAATGTATTCAATTTTAAATAATTAAGTCCAAAATTTGAGGAAAATCTGTCAAACACTGTTTAAAAATTGAGAAAAATGTAAAAATATGAGTTCTTTTAAATTTTATTTAAAAAAAATTTTTCAAGCAATTTCCTACAAATGTAAGTGTGAATCTATATATTTCATTAAATTTTCAAGTAAAAGTCCCTCAAATGTTTGTAAAGCATGGTCTGTGATATGGAAGGGCATATCTGTGAAGTTGAAAAAGTTTGTTTGTTAAATGTGAATTTTAATTGTTTTTCTTTGTATTATGTAGGTTATTGAGACCTTAGTAAAGGCAATCAGTTGCACTAAAAAAGAAGCAATAGACTATGCAACCACCATTGATCGTGAAGGTCGAAGTATTGTTAGATGTTCATCATTTACTAATTGTAATTCAGTCAGGCATTTTATTGAGAGAGTCACTTCAAGAACTGGTAGTAAACTCAAAGTATTAGTTATCCACACTGAAGTTATTGCACATCAAGCATTTGCTATAAAGTTGCTGACATGGCTGCAGAAAATATTGTCCTTGAACAGAGGTATTTTTTAGAATGTTTGTCATTATCTTTGTTTTTGTTGAAATTTTAATTATTTTACTTTTATTTTTATTGTTTGATCATTTTTCATGTGTTCACAAAATATTTTCGCTCTATATATAGTTAATCTGTATCTTTTTTTTTTTATAACATACAATATTTTTAAGATATTTTTAAAACATTTCTTTGCTGCTTTAACAATTTCTACTGCATAATTAGTGAATTTTATACTCATTAAACGATTTTTTCAGTTCATTCAATTTTTCTTAAATGTGTAAGTTTTGTTATTGAATATCCTTTAAATTTTTTAGAATTTTAATATATATTTCTGTAATAGTATTTTCTAATACTATTTTCTGTCACATAAAAGAAAAACTGATATCATCTTACACAAAAAGTTTTTAAAAATAGTAGTTTTAGTGGTTAAACTTTTATTTTTTCTGTAATTATATAGTTTTCCCCACAAATGCTTAATTAACTGCAGTTGTGTAAAACACTGAATTGTGATATAATAATTTTATGACTTCAAGTCATGTTGCCTCCTTGATCAAAGTTGGATGTTAAACCCTCAGGGGTGGCTTGAGCCTTTCAGATCAATAAGTACTAGCTTTTCTGGAAAATAAAAGATGATTTGGATGCAATGCTGACCACAACATGCCATTTGTCACAAAACTGTAGAACTTTAACTTATCTCTTTGACCCACAGTAGACTTTTGTGGCAGTGTCCTGCTTATGCTTTAATTTTATGACTTTAAAAAACTGATTTAATTGGTTTCTATTATAATTGTCAATAAATCTAATTTAAAAATCAACAACATGTAGATATCGCTAAGATCTTAACATCGTTTTGGGCTGTATTTTAGACATTAGGTAGAAGATGTTGGAATCTAAACTGTTTCTTACTCAGAAAATTATAGGATTTTTCCAATTTTTTAAACTTTCCCCAGAAACATACTTGAGTTTTTGAAATAAATACATGTAACACATAAACTGAAGCCTAACTGATTTTCATTATTTTTATACTTAGCATTTTTCAAATATTTGAAATACCCTATTTAATTCTCTCCTGTTTATCCAGAAATAGTTAAACTCCAGTACCACAAGAATTATGATTATTAAAATCATGTACTTTCCATAATTGTATTTTCCTGTATATTTGTAAACCTATATTTACTGTGATTATATTTTCATATTGCCAATGCACGCAATAATGCACTTAATCCTATGTGATATATATATATATATATGTGTGTGTGTGTGTGTAAATGGTTCCGGAAGAAAGCAGAACTAATTCAAAATTTTATATTTAATCGAATTGTTAAATGAATCAGAAAGCAGTATGGTATCAGATACTGTTTCTTATTGTTTATGCAGACAATATATTCTATGACTAATATAAATGGAACTACAAAAAAAATAAAGACTGTCGCAATATTATTCTGTAAAACATTGTGTATTTTATCCTCGTCAAATACCTTAGAACAGGAATGTTGTAAAAGAATATTTAAAGTTACTTATGTATTGTACTTTTTCATTTATTAATTTTGAAAAAAAAGTACAGTATGGTTTCTAATAGTTTGAAGCTATAAACAAGATTGTTCTTGCACTAAGTTTGAATTGTGTAATGCTAACATTTATCAAACTGAAATATTTGAAATTTTTTAAATTAATTTTTAACCAATTGTTATTTTCCGGAAACTGTAAGCAGTATATGTTTTTTTTAAAAATTCAAAGAATATAAGTATAGTTACAAAATAAATTATCTTTTGTTAGTACTATAAACAATACTTACCTATAAATAATAGTCGAAGGGAAAAAATTAATTTTGCTGTTCAAATAGAAAGGCAATACGGAAGGGATGCCATAGAAATAACAAAAACTATTCAAGCACACCATGAAATATGATTCAATAGAGGATACAACACCAACCCCAATGGAAGGGAAATATTTAATAAATCCACTACATTCTTCGAACCTGTATTAAATTTAGCCTATAACATTCTGTTAAGTTAGAAGATGAATAAAATGATAAGTTGGGTCCAAGTGAAGAAGGGGTTGACTTTGTGTTGTATATGAATAAGCATAAATAACATAAAAAAAAGCAAAATCAATGTTACATAAAAGTATCAAAATGCAGAAGGAAGTATGGGTTCATTCTGCAAAAGCTGTTAGTCAATCTTTTTTTTTTCTTTCTCTTGTTGCAACTTGTTCGAAATTTATTGAATGACATTATGTGATAACTGCAATAGAAAATTTTTCTACTTTATTTTTCTTTTCTTTACTCCAAGTAATCTAAAAGTAATAAGAAGATAGCTTTCATGCAATAATTATTGACCTTCTGAATTATTATTTACCGAAATCTAATTATTTCTTGTGTTTTACTTTCAATCTTATTTTTTTATATCTTTTTTTTTTAAATTAATGCTTTTTAAAATTTATTTCTAAAGTTTAACTGAATTCCTCTAATGCCTTATTTGGATCCTACATTTAAAAATGGACCTAAAACTCAATGAAGTTGATGGGACGAGTGAACTCACCATTTTTTAGTTATTAGTTTGTTGATTATGTTCTCGTAAATATGATTTTAGTTACGATATACGTAATGACTATTTTTCGATTCTGATTTACATTATATGGTAATATCAATTTGACTTAAATATGTGTTTTAAGAAATGTCGAAATCTTTTGATATAATTATAGGAAGCTTTTAAATTTTTTGATCGCATCTTAACCTCTTCAGAACTAGCGGAAGGAGATTGCTTTCCCGTGTCTGCATTGTCAGAGTTAATACTTACTAAAAAGAACTTTGTGTATTAATACGAGGTTTACTGTGATAGTAGTGAATTAAAATCGTGTCTGTGTGAGCTTGGATTGCTAATGTCAGAAAGGCTCGATTCATATATGATACTGTCAGGTATGATGGGAGAATGTTGTGATCACATGTATGTAATCGCAGTCCTGTACGGTTTTAACTGTCATCTGAAATTCATTACAAAAACTTTAGCAAATTTAGTTAACTTAATGAGTTGCCAATTGCTTCTGTTAGTTTTTTTGCATAGGTAAAGAATTTATGAAAATTATTTTATTTGGTACTCTTTTTTTTTTCTTATTCATTGATCTCATATTTCTACATTTCTTTTTTATATATATTTCAGGTTTTTCCCATGTATTTACTAATGGAATAATGGAAGATGGATTATTGGAAAATATAATGCTTGTTGATACTCAGTTGTGGAAAAATGCTAGAAATCAGTGGCATCAGCTATTTATAACAGGAATGTTGATGGACTTAACCTGCAAGAAAGCTTTTGCAAAAAGTTTTGTTTCCGTGTATCCAACAATTTTACAAGAGTTTATTTCTGATGATCATGATCACTCTATATCAGTGTCTTCCTTATCAGTTCAAATATTTACAGTACCCACATTAGCTCATTCTTTAATTCAAGAAGAAAATGCTATATCTGTTGTTCTAAAAGCATTTCTGTTAGAGTGCGAGAAGAGACATGTCAATGGACAGGGTAAACTTCATTTCCAACGAAACCTCAACAACAGCAATTTCAGGAGAGCTCAATATATGCTCCATGATCTTGGATATTTAGTGTCTGTACCACCACCTCAATGGAATGACCAGTTACGTAAGAACTTCATAAACGGAATGCATGCTTTTTTCAAACTATTGGAAATGATGCAAGACATGGACGCTGTTGTCCGCCAAGTTGGACAACATGTTGAGTTTGAGGCAGAGTGGGAAACTGGAATTAATCTTCAACTTAAAATTGCCTCTATTGTTACAGCATTGTTAAGATGGTGCACCTCAGATTACTCTGTGTTTGTAAAAACAATTAGAGCTAATATTAAACACTTTGAAACGTCACAACCCAAACCTGTTTTCATTGGAGTAGAATTAGCAAACCATTCTGCTTCCTGCATTGAATATGATGTTTCTTCTAATGCTGTTTCTATCCATTTACCTTTAGTTCGATATTTAGCTGGACTTCTGTTGCATTTGGATCAATATAACCTCTCCTATGAAGGGCCGCAGTTTCTGATGGAAGGAGTGGAGCGTTGTAGTCCAGAGCAATTAATGGAACTTCCTCTAAGGACTTTAGTTATGCTTGCTCAGTTCCGTGCTGGGATGTGGAGGAGAAATGGATATTCCCTTTTAAATCAAGTATATTTTTATCATAATGTGAGATTGAGGGAAGAAATGTATGATCGAGATGTGCTCATGCTTCAAATTGTGGCATCCATGATTGAAAGCAATGAATTTCTTATACATCTAGTTTATAAATATGGATTGCTGAACTGGGCATCCGAAATGTATGATGGCACAAGTCGCAAACCTGAGGAAGATAATATTCGACAAGTTTTGACAGTTGCAGAAGAGTTCTTAAGTCTGGTTCTGATTATTGTTTCCGAACGCTTTACTCCCAATCTCGGCAAAATATCGGAATCCGAAAAAATAAAGAAGGAAATAATACAACTTCTTTGTATAGAACCTATGCCTCACAGTCAGCTGTACAAATTGCTCCCTAGAGACCCCACTCACGATGTTAGCTTCGAAACTGTCATTAATGAAGTTGCCACTTTTAAAATGCCACAAGGGTCTGGAGTGGGAAAATATGAGCTGAAACCTGATTACTTTAAATGTTTCAACCCCTTCTACTATCATTACACCAGAGAAGAACAATCTAAGGCTGAAGAAGTTCAGGTGAAAAGGAAAAAGCAGCTGTGTGAAGAAATATGCTGTCCACCACCTGTTCCACCTGAATTTCACCCACGTTTTGCTATAATATCCAATATACTTCAATGTGATGTTATGTTGCACATGATGGAATTAGTGTTGAAAAGGACTTTGAACTTACATTCTGCTGCATTTTCTGAAACACAGTTAGAAAAAGTACTTCATCTCATTGGGGTTGCTCTTCACGAAGAAGAACGTGTGACAAAGTTAGATTCTGAGAATTCTTTCTTTTGTTTCACTTCCAAGGCTAACAAACGAAGTTTCGTAAGCCTACTAGAAGAGTGTTCCAAATGTCCTCGAATAGATATATGTGGAGAATCTTTAAAAGATCTCTTGGCGTGGGTTATCACCAAATTTAAGTATGTTGAAAGCCTTCATATTCAAAACAACGATAAAGCAAATGAGCTTGAAATGGCTGAAGCATCTGCCAGTACTAGTAAAAATACTGCTCGTGATAGGAAACGCAAGACTGAAATGGCTGCTGCTAGGAGAACTCGTATTATGGCTCAAATGTCTGCTATGCAGAAAAACTTCATAAAAGAACATGCTGATATGTTCAAAGAAACTTTACTCGAGGACTCTAATTTATCAAAGTCTGAAATGGATATTTATAATGAGCTATCAGAAGATCCTGTATGCTTTTACAAAGATTCCAGGTGGAGATCTTCTGCTTCAGGTGTATATACTTGTATTTTATGTAGAGAGGATCAAGAACTCACTTGTGCTGGAAGGTCTTTAGTATTATCTGCATTTGTTCAGAAATCTTCAATTTTGTCCAAGAATCGCAAACATAAAATGAGAGATCCTAGAAATTATGATCCTCTGCTTCTGCCTGCTGATTTATTCTGGTCAGTGCACTCAAGTACTTGTGGTCATGTGATGCACAGTGATTGCTGGCAAAAGTTCTTTGATTCTGTGGTCCAAAAAGAACAGAGGCGTCCTGCTCGGTAATAATGATTTATTACTTTTTCTAATTCTGTTTTGAATTTGTTAATGATGTATTGTGAAAATAAGTATAAAGCTAATTTTCTGTGTTCATAATTAATTTAAAGTTAATATTTATTTTTTTACAGTAAATTATGTATGTACTGATAATTTATTTGATTGATGCTGTTTTCTATTTTGATAGTTTTTTTTAATTCTTTTAATTAAGTTTAAAACTTTTTTGTTATTGGAGAAAAAATGTAATAATCATATTTTAAAGTTAGTTGTTAAATGTTGAAAGTCCTTTTATTTATTAATAGATGTTATTGTATTTTTGGTAACTGTTATCACTTATAAAGCCTATTCTTTAGATTGTAAGGTGCATCATTTTTTATGATTATCTTTATCATTTAACTGTTGAGTTAAATGGACGAATGTGTGAAATTTTCCTTACACAATTCAGGGTTTCTGTTATGCTTTTCTTGAATTATTGAGAAAAGAAACAAAACCCAATTGTTTGGAAAAGTAACCTAATGTTAGCTCAAACTATGATTAAAGGTTAAATTTTCTTGATCAAGTTAGTTTTTAAAAAAGTCAATGGTTAGTCTATTTAAGAAAATGTACATAACTGAGCACTATCAAATATATTTTATTATTTAGCTAAAAGGATACTTTAAGACAGTTCAGTGTAGTGGTCTTTTATCATTTGCATCTGAAAACCACATCATTCTCATCTGCTAGATGATATACTTGAGGAACTTCATTAGCTGTTGTAAGATAAGTTAATTTCACTGCACAGTAGGTTACTAGGTTTTATGGCTTTTATCATCTTATTTTAGTTTATTTTTTTTTAAAAAGAATTATTTCAAAATAAATTAGTTATATTCATTTTAGTTTTTATGAAACAGACTAAATATGATTATACTGATATATAAAATGTAATTTACATTACATAAGGATAAATTTGAGAATGAAAAGTTAAACACGTTATTTGTGTCACACTGGGGCTGTGCAATGAGCTATTGGCGATGGTCTGAAAAGCGTCTCTGAAAATATGACATCATAATTTTGATTTAATGCAAAAGAGATGGTTCTCCCACTTTGGTAGCGGACAGCCTGCAAGCAAAATTGAACATTTTGCAGTAGAACAGTTCAATAAGAACTGATACACACCTTTGGTTCCTTAGCAAGGTGGTCATCCACCCTCTCACTGAACTCTGTTAGCAATGCTTGACTTTGGTGATTCAACAGGAACCGTTTCTAACAATCAGTTAACTGTAGGACAGCTGATTGAATAAATTTTAAATGATGAAAATGTCAGCAGTCATTTATTTAAGAATTTTTATGGACTTTAATTGTGTCTTTCAGATTTGGGCGGCATACTAGTTTTGATGTTGAAAAGAAAGAGTTCTTGTGTCCTTTATGTGAACGTTTGAGCAATACTGTTATACCTCTCATTCCACCTTTGTCTACATTGATCCCTTCAACAATAACAACTGAAAATATTGATATATCCATGGATGAGTGGCTGAGTGCTGTTAAAAAAGCTGCTGAAAGCTTTCAGCTTGATAAGGAAGAAGATATGCCTAGTGATGGTAATTTTTAATATTAAGTAGTGCTTGTTAACCCTTTAACGTAGAATATTTGCTTGACATATTTTTCATGCTTTCTTTATTGTTTTGTATTAATTTAAGTAAAAATAAATGACAAATGTTATATTGAGTATTTTAATAGTTTATGGTTATGAAATACAACATGAAACACTGGTCTTTCTCTACATTAAAGATAAGATCTTCCTAACACAATAGCTTCTAAACAATATTTTTTAAAATTTGCATTTACTTAGATTTAATGGATACAGTTATTCATCTTTGAAATTTTTTAATTTACAAGATCAACTTAAAAAAATTTTGAATATAAATGAACTTTTTTTTTTATTCAAATTACTACTTTTCAGGATTTTATATTTTAATACAAATATAATTCTGATAATCTAATAGATTTCTTTTAAGTAGTAACTATTAAAATGTTTTTCTCATTAAAAAAAAAAGAGAAAATATATTTTTACTCGTAATTAGAGTATTTAAAAAATTTATAAAGGGGACACCAGTGTGTCATCTGCGTCAAAGGGTTAATAAAAGTTTATCTGTTTTTGTCTTTTTAATGAAAACTTCAGAAAACCGGTTAAAAACAGGAAAAAGCACAATTGTCCATGAATTTAAGAAGATTAACAGAGAACGAAATTAGGAAAACCAGCGAGACAAATTAAATGTCCCGCTCTGATTCGCCTCCTTCAACCACTGCTATATTCTTGTCTACAATGATTTTCTTGTTTTGTTTCTCCATTAATTTCCTTTCCTCTTTTAGGCTAGCAAATGTCTTTTCTTATTTCTCTTAACCTGTTTTTCGTGCTGTTACCTTGAAAATGAACTCTTGTGCTCAAGTTTTCGAAAAATCTTGCCTTTTTTTTCTACTTTAATTACGAAACAAATGAAGTTAATAAGAAGTATATCTTTTTGGGGTATTTTGGCTTGGGATCTGCATTCCTCTAATCCTTTTAATTTTGTTCTTTCAAAATCCACCTTCATTTGTTTCTGCTATGTAATTTAAGTTCTTCCCCTTTTTCTCTTGCCATCATGGCCCAAAGAAAAAGAATCATGCACACTTCGCATTCTTAGTATATGTCCTATCTATTTCTACCTTCTCATATTTATTTCATCTTCTATTGTAGTTAGATTTACTTCTTCTAATATTGTTTCATCTCTTATTTCAACAGGCCAAAATATTTTTAAAAAAAATTAAGACAGTTATTTTAATAAACCACTAATTTTGATGCCTGATTTTTTAAAGTACCATTATTCAGAGTCATATATTGAAATTGCTTTGACTATTGATGTTTATGGTGTTTAAAGATGATTATTAGATATCCAAATTTTGTTCAATCAAACTTTTTTTTTCACCTACCCTCATTACTATTGATTCCTCAGAGTTTGATCAAATTTTTTTTTCTTCCTCATTCGAATATTTTTAATTTATAACCGTCGTTGAACAGCCGACCCAATTTCAAGGGTTTACGACTACTAACGTTCAACTCCGTAGCCTTGTAATTTTGAACCAATCCAGAAGACAAGGAAACTCCTGGATCAGTACCCCCAGAGGTATTGATTTGTTGTGGGAACATGGAGGACTTTGAGACTCGACAGATTTAACGTGCATCAGTCACCATTTACTACACGGGGAGTCTTCGGCCGGNCTTGTGCAGTATATGGCACTGCCTCAGCTTCTCACCTTAAAAGGTTGGATACAGTGCATCATACTGCCTTGCGTATATGTAGCGGCGCATTTCGTACTTCTCCAGTTGAAAGCCTGTATGCTGTGTGTCACCAATTGCCTCTAGATTTGAGACGCATGCAGCTCAGTCTAACATATTATTTTCACGTAGTCTCATCCACATCACACCCTCTTAAACGTGAAACACTTCCAGTAAGTTTAGAGCGGATTTATGATGCTCGACCCTCACATGTTCGCCCTTTTAATGCTCGCATGTGCTCGCTCAACCAATCATTCAATATCTGTGACTCAACAACACAATGTGTCGATCACTCGCTTATTCCACCTTGGAACGTTTCACAATATCATTTTCATTCTCCATTCGATGTACATAGTAAATCTCATGTTGCGCCTATCATTTTTCAGCAACTATACAAAGCTCATCGTCATCAATATTGTCAACATGTTCCGGTTTTCACAGATGGCTCAAAATGTCCTGGCTATGTAGGCTGTGGTATTGTTATTGCTGACGACACCTACAGTTATAAAATACCAACTATGTGTTCCGTATTCACCGCTGAGGCAGTTGCAATTCTGTTGGCATTAAGGCTTATTTCAGCTAGTTTGAATCGAAAATACTGCGTTTACTCAGATAGTATGAGCGTGTTGCGCCAACTCAACCATTTTGACAATGAAACTCATCCCATTTTGTGTTTTATACAGCATTTGCTATTTAATCTTCATAAAAATGGTTTCGATATTTTATTTTGCTGGGTTCCAAGTCACGTTGGAATCCCTGGCAATGATTTAGCCGATACAGCAGCGCGATCTGCTACTACTACTTTAAATTTATCTATACCATTCTCAGATGTAAAAATACATATTAAAAAGTATATAAAATCTTTATGGCAGCAGCAGTGGGATAACCAAGTGAATAATAAGTTGCACGCTCATAAGTCAAATTTGGAACCCTTCCCTGTGTTGCGACTACGTAGTGCAGATGTTAAGCTTACCCGTCTGCGAATCGGACACACCAGACTGACCCATCTACATTTGTTGTTTGGTGAACCACCTCCTCAATGCAACACTTGTGATGTTTTACTTTCGATTCACCATATTTTAATCACTTGCCCGTATTTTAACAGACATCGTCTTGCCTTTTTTGGCAGTTCTATTTTATCTATGGGAGATTTGTTAGGTGACTCTCATCATCCGAACATTTTTGCATTTTTACGTGCTATTGGCATTTTAAATTGTATATAAGTTTATTCTGTTCATGAATTTATTCATTTTTAGAAGGATATTCTTACCTTTATACTATTTTACTGTGTTTTAACTTTGACGTGATTTTATTCCAATATTACCGTTGATTGTTTGTATATGATTTTATCAATTTTTAATTATATTTAGGAAAATAAGTATGCACTTCAATTTTGACATGTATAAACATATTGTTTGGCGCAGCATGTCCACATTTGGATTTTGTGCCATTAAACTCTACATTCAATCAACCGTAGCCTTGTAATTTTGAACCAATCCAGAAGACATGGAAACTCCTGGATCAGTACCCCCAGAGGTATTGATTTGTTGTGGGAACATGGAGGACTTTGAGACTCGACAGATTTAACATGCATCAGCCACCATTTACTACACGGGGAGTCTTCGGCCGGCGAGGATCGAACCCACGACCTCTTGGATATGGGCCCAGCGCCCTACCGACCAGGCTATCCCGGCCCTCATTCAAATATTAATTGAAACTCCTAATGAGTTTACAATTTCAACTAGTATTTTTTTAAATGTTAAGTTTGAACCTATCTACCTCTGAATGCCCATTGCCATAGAATATTGTTTTTTTTTTTTTGTTTTTTTTTTTTGTATTTGTGATTTGTTATTGAAAAGATAAGTAAAACATGTTAATGTCTGTTATGTATTTTTTAGAAGATTCAGCAATGCATTCATCATTTTCTTACAAAGCCTCTACAGTTGATAATGCTTTGAAAGGAGTTGGTGAACCTAATCATGAGAAATTCAAGGTTTTGTTTTCCTTGTTTCAAGTAAACCCGGCAAATGACTTAGCCCCATCATTTTCTCAAAATTTAGTTGACATGATGAAATTGTTTTCTGAAGCTATTTATACTGTAAGTATAAAAAAATTATATTTCAACATATAATTTAAATAAGATATTTTAATATTCATTGTTATTATAGTATTTAAAAAAAATGTCCAATTCCTTACCCTCAGGGTACAAGATAGGGGATCTAACATCAGCTGAACTTTTTTCTTTGCATTTATAAAATATATGTGCTGAAATTAGGAATTGTTCCACTAGAAGACTTATTAAAAAAAAATCAAGAATTTTCCCAAATGCAATAAATGGCGGAAGGTTATGTTTAAATATCTTACTTCATATTTTATTTTATGTTTTGACTGTTAGAAAGTTGAGTTGAATTGCTCAATGCAATGCTAAATTTGTTGAATTGCTCAATGCAATACAAATTTATTGTATAAAATGTTTTTTTTTTTTTGCTTGAGTTTTTTGTGCTATTTTCCATTGTGAACATTAAATCATTAATTTATCTTTTGATTATTTCTCTGTCCCTAAAATTTTAGATACCTATGATTTCAGCATGATTCTATCATAGTTTTTTTTAAAGTAATATTTTGAACTTCGTGCTGCAAGGATTCATTTTTATATGTTATTAAGCAAACTGTTTTGAAATAATTGCACATAAATGTAATGTGTGATTTAACTATTGTACATCAGTTGTTTGATTTGTTCACAAAAAAATCTGAATTACTTCAGATTGATCTTATCATAGTCAGTAGCCTTAGTTGCTGCCTAAACATAAATTTTTGTTGTTTACAAATATTATGAATAAAAAAAAAATTTTATGAATCACAATGCATAGTTCATAGTTATTTATTATTATTTTTTTGAAATGTCAAAACATTATACCTTTACTGTACATAGCCATGCTGGTACACTGGTTAAGGCACTGTGATATTGTTTAAAACTGGAAATCTGTTGCTGGTCCTGCTTGAAACCCATGTAGTTTCAGGTTGATTGGTACTAGCTTTTCCATGATCTGGCATGGGAGGGAGCACTTTAAATCCATACTGTTGGTTTCAGAATTATGAAGCCTCAAACTTCATGACCCCATATCTGTTAACTCACTGTTGCAAGAGTGTTTTAATATACTTTAACTTTATTCAGTAGATAAGCATTCAATATTCACCACTACCAAGAGTTATTATTATCCTTTCTTCTATTTTTCTATTCTATAAATCTCGTCTTTTTCCTAATTCTTGAAATTATATTAAAAACCATATTATAAAATAAGATTTTAAAACTGAATTCTGTATTAATTTTTACTTTAAAGGTCAAGAAATCCTTTTTGATTTCTTTTACATTTAATTAATAATTATTAAAAAAAGAAGAAAAAATTGAAATTAAGGAAAGCTAATTTTAGTCTTGTAGTCACTTGAAAGCTCTGAAGAAATTAGTATTTATAAAGTATTCAATATTTCAAATTATCAAATTGTATTTTTTAAGGAATCTCATGTATGAAGTTTACTTTAGCAAATTTTTAAAGCATTAAAGACTTTCATGTTTTGAAAATTAGCTTTAAGTTTGTTGGATTTATATGTCAATTGCTCTGACATTCCTGATAAAAAAATATTTTGTCTTTATTTGCCCTGATTTTAGCTCTTTGTTGCTGATTTTTGTGTTTGTTAGAAAATTTTCCATTTTCTAAGAGTACCAAATACAGATTTCCAAAAAGTAATAGATATAAGATATAATTTTTCTTGAAACTCTTAAGACTTCTGTTTTAAACAAAGGAATTATGAAATTTTTAAAAAAATTATATTTCACTATTCTTTTGCGGTGAAATTTGCTTTTAATACTCTAAAGTAGAGCAATTTAGTTGTTTCCATTTTTAAAAGTAGTATGGTAAATGTGTACACTATTCCAAAAAATGTCCTGATTCTTTTTGTTGTTGTCTATTTACGAAGCTTGTGTTTAGTAGAGGGTTATACTGATGCATCTATTGTTGATTTTTATCTACAAATTTTGTTGTCTAGTATTTAGTAATGAATGATTTGAACTAAGCCATTTGTGTTAGAGCAATCTCAAAAGTAAGGTCTGCTATTTTATTTATTTTTTAAATCTGAAATTAAAATCTTTTTATTTTCTATACCATATCCTTTTAAAGGTTAGACATTTAAGTAATTTCATTTTTTACATAATTGGCTCTTCAGTCAATGTATTTTTGTACATGTTTTGTCAGTTTTTGTATGTTAATAATGTATTAGTCCCCCCCCCCCTGTTTTTGTGATAACATAGAATATTTTTTAATTCATCAATCAAATTAGCCATTATTTTCTGCAATTGTTTTAATGGCATATCATCACACACCTATGCATGATCCATCTTTAGGACTTAGTTATTACCATCTTTTCAAAGGTTAAATGAATATTTTGCTGAAGGGGGTTCAACTCTGACTAAAGAAGAAAAAAAAAATAAGGTTCATTGCAAACTGGTATGACTTGGGTATACATAAACTGTCACACATCTTCAAAAATGCATTGATTTAAATGGCAACTTTATAATGTCCAATCTTTAAAATAATATATTGTTAAAAATATATAAAGATTTTTTTTATTTTTTGTAAGAATTAGGATACCTTACTTTTAAGATTGTTATGATATGTAAGGTTGTCATTTTTAAAAATTCTTGAGAAATTTTTCAGTTATAAATATGCTAATAAAATAGTGTGACTTCTAGATTTTATTTTTCTCTGTTTCAGGTTGGTTTAAATGTGAATATTAATACTGCTGATGTCAGAATACCTACTATGTCATGGGCATCATGTGCTTACACCATTCATGCCATGGAATGGCTCTTGCGCGATAAGAAGAAAGCACTCTTTGGGGCACACTCTTCAAGAAATGCCCTCTGTTTGGATGGAATAATTCGATTTTGTGGCGCTAGTTTGCGAATATTTGATCACAATGTTATTCGATCAAACTGCATAAGAATCCTGCGATATCTAGTCTTAGGCGAACATTATCTCTCAAGTCCGCAGTGTTCTTTAGACTTGGATGCATTTTCAGTTCTGCTATTCCTCGTTCATTCTATGCCAATACTTTTCGAAAAAGACAATGCTGACAAAAGAACAGTTCTTCATCCCCTTGGTACCACTCTTGATAAGTACTTGTTGCATTTGTTATTAATTTTTCACTTTGTGCAAGTGCTTTTAACGTACCCTTTTCACGAAGAAGAAAAGATGGAAACTGATTGTGGACCTGATAGAATACCAAGGCTTCATGGAGAGAATGTTACCGCTCTGCTTTTCTATGAGGAAGTGAGGACAGCTGCTGGCTTTGACCAGTGGATTCCTGCACCATCTGGTCACACAATAGTTCACTGCTTAAAGACGGGCTCTCTTCCATTTCTGAGATGTGCGGCAATATTCTTTCACGTTCTGACGGATACTCCCCCTCCTATGTCTCTTCAAGAAGTGAACGACAAGGAATTTGAAAACATATGCACTTATTTAGGTTTGCCACCCACTCTAGATGAACTTTTAGCATCAACTTCATTGAAGCATTTAGCATTAAGGTATGATAAATTCTTTGCAAATATTTATTTTTGAATTTTTCCATTTTTCCTTCGACTTTGTTAATTATTCTTATGCTGATATTATTTTGCTATTTTTTGTCTGTTCCTCACAAATTTTAAAAAATTATTTTAAGGCTGATAGTCTAATACTAATAAGAATTTTGTATAAATTTATCTTCTAAAGATATTCATATTACACAAACATATCATTTTTTATTTCTTTTGAAGCTATTTTAAATATTTAATGTAGGAAAATATTGTAGAGACTAACAGTTCAAAGTTGATATGGATTTTAGATTCATTAACTTTCCTTTAAAAGATTGGATTTCTGTTTTTGAGTAACACAATACAAATATATTTTCATTTAATTATTGTTAAATCATTGTTGATCAGGGGTTTCCAACTGGCGGCCCGCGAAGCCATTTTTTGTGGCCCGTGAACTAAAATATATTTGTTGTCATTTTTTTGCGGACAATTTTCGTAAAAAATCTATATGGTTTTAAAATACTTTTCTCGTTAATCTAAACCAATTTCTTCCTTTCTGTTAAATTTAACATATCAATGTTGCAAAAAAATTTATTTCTAGGGTTTTGCATCCAAGAAAATATTTATTCAGATACAAAAATAATCGTGTATGTTGCTCTTTTTTATTTCATTTTTTTGTATTTTGTGAATATAATTCAGCGTGTGTGCATCAGAAATTTTCTTGAAGAAATTCTCCGATTTAACTTTTTGAAACCACTCATTTTGGACAAAAATATTTACACACACATTTGTAAATTTTAAATGTAAATATATATTCTCTGGTGGTTGCAGCAGACAAACCTCAATTTTCTCATTGAACATTTTGTGTGGTACTATGTAAGTTTTAATACCAACCTTTTTAAAGTTTTATATCTTAACAATTAGATATCTGTTGCACATTAATTGTTAATACATAGGTGCACATTAAAGTTATTGTAGCCCAAATGTTTATTATTTAATATTTTTCAAAATATTATTAGTAGCAATTAAGTCTTTTTAAAAATCCACTCCTTATTTTAATTTGTAATTCAATACTTTTGTTTTGTACAACTTGGTAAAAATCTGACAGTAATATTTAATGTTCCTTCAAATATGAAAGAGTCCTACATAAAATTTTGATTAAATTGCGGCCCGCCATTTGATTTGTGTTGTTAATTGTGGCCCCTGGCCTCATGTAAGTATGAAACCCCTGGTCTAGATGGAAGCAAAAATTGGAAAATTTTACAAGCCAGTGGCAAAATTTTTATCAGTTCTTTTTAAAAAACTGAAAATCCTAAACTATTGAAAAAAGTATTGATATTGTTAATGTAAAGGATTTCTTAAAATTTGGTCAACACTACAAGTTTTATTTTTAAAATGAAGGAAAATTTACCTGACCTATCCAAGTAGGTTTATATAAAATTTAAGTATTGTATATAATCTTTTTACCTAATAAAATTTAAATTTTGAGTTTTGAATAATTTTACATTAAATTTATGTTTATTAACAAATATATAATTAATTGGTTAGAAAATTAATCAGAAATAATTGTAATCATAATTATGAATTTATATAAATTAGATTACTTTAAAATATTGATTTTAAATTTAAAAAGAAAAAGAGTAATATGAAATTAAATTGAACTTGAGTGAAACCTTTAATAAACAAATTCAGTTCAACAACAGCAGGTTCAAAAGTAATCTGAAATTTTGAACCTGCTTAAAATAACTTTAATATTTAGAGATAATACAGCTTTTCTGAGTAATAAATATTATGAACACATGGGATAAATTTTCGGCAAAAAGTGATGATTAACAAACAAATTTTAAAATATAGATTACATATAAATTTTTTTATTTTATATTTTGTGATAAGAAGCCTTCAAAGAGTTCTTTTATTCTTGGGAAATATCGTCAAAAAATGTTTTGCTCTTTTTAGATTTTCTCTTACAATTATCATGAGAATCTAAATATCTGGAAAAAGCTTTCTGCTGATCTATTATGGGTCCTACTCTGTTAATTCACTGTAACTGTAATTTAATAGACATGAACATTTTTAAATTATGTATTAGTACGATTATAGGATCACCAGATATCAGCAAAAAGCTTTCTGCTAATCTATTATGGTTCATTTTTTTTTATTTTAATTCCCTTTTAATGTATACTTTCTGTAATTTTATAAACGTGTTTTATTTAATTTTAATAATTATTTCATCAACATCATTTTAGTTGGGCTAGGCATCCAAGAACATTACATCTGCTGATGAATACAGAGCAATCAGAAACGCACAGTTTAGTGCGCCATCCACTATCAATCAACCGATTGATTCCTCTCCCGCCTGATTATAGTGATCTTATCAATAGTGTATCTCACTTTACATGTCCGAGCTCCGAAGGTGATGACAGTAGAAATCCCACAATGTGCCTCGTATGTGGAAAAGTTTTATGCTCTCAAAGTTACTGCTGCCAAGTAGAGCTAAATGGGGCTCTCGTTGGTTCTTGCACTGATCATGCTTTTATCTGTGGATCTGGTGTTGGTATTTTTCTCAGAATAAGAGATTGCAAGATTCTTCTGCTGTCTGATAAGAATAAAGGTGAGTTATTTTGATTTTTGGTTATAATATTTCGAACGCATGGTGCATAGCATTTTTAAAAAGTGCTTAAAGGTGCTTATTTTTGATTTACTGTTTTTAAAAGCCTTTAAAGGTGCTTTTTTTATTCGGGGTTTGTAAAAAGTGCTTAATTTTCTACCTTTCAAAAAGAGATTTTTTCTTTGCCATGTCGATTGTCGTCATAAATTTTTAAAAAATGCATGGTTTTTACAATTTTTTCTGCAATATTTATCAGAAGCTAGTTGTTTTTATCATGATTATGTAAAGTTTTTAAAAGTGTTTTCGAATTTTATTGACTTTATGAATATAAAATAAAGAACTTTAAACGATAGGGAGAAAAAAAATTATTACTGTACAGATCCTAATTATGATTATTTTATACTATAGCACATTTCTAATAGGCTTAAAGAATTACATGTCATTTATTTGAATTCAAATTTATTTTAATGACTTAGTATTTACTAAAAAGATGCAATTTTTTTGTAAAAAAAAAAGTTGTTATATGGATTTGAATGATTGTTTTGAATTCTTAGAATTTTGTGCATTTGCAATGTACCTAGGTTAGTAGCGAGCGAAGCAAACCATATAAGATTGCGTAGCAATTTTCGGGGGTTGGCGAGCGTTAGCGAGCAGGGGGCACAGCCCATTAGTGGTTTATATTTTTAATGATATAAGGTTATACAACAATAACAAATTTTGTAAAAATGATTCATATTATCATTTTTGAAAAGAGTAAATGTCCAAGAAGATTTCCTTAACTGTTAATTTAAACCTTTATCAACACCAATGTTTTTCAATGCATAATAATACCAATGAGAATACAAAACAAAATCATCAGAAGAAAAAAGAATTTAAAAAAAATTAATAAATAAACGACACCTGAAAAAAAAATTTTTTTTAGTCTGCTCATTTTCTGTTTTTGTTTTAACCAAAATGTGTGTTCTTACTTTTCTTGTTACTCATCCTCCCCCTATCACAATCTCAAGAACCTTTCTAAGTATAGCATAATTTGTGGATAGCCCCCTAATGAATTTTAATTCTTTTAGAATGTTTTTATTCATACATAAACACTGAATTTTATTTCAGGTTGTTTTGCTCCACCACCTTATGTGGATGAATATGGAGAAACAGATCAAGGTCTTTTAAGAGGAAATCCTCTTCATTTATGTCAAGAACGCTATGAAGAGCTTCATGAACTGTGGCTAAGCCATAATATTCCAGAAAGAGTATCTCACAGTATGGAACAATCAACAACTTTACCTAACTGGCAATTACTGTGACATGATTCTAATTAAAAATATATATATATATATAAACATTTATTTATTATTATTTTCTGCCTTGTGAAAAGATACACCCTTCATTTGTTCATTTTTATTTGGAAAAATTATTTCCTTAATTATGATTTTTTTAAATATATATTTTACACTGTTTTATTTCCTTTTTTTTTTATCTCCTGTTCGATCTTTTCATAATTTAGGCTATAGAAATTTAATATATTTATTAAAACTGTTACTTAAAAAAAAGCAAAATATCTAGATAAAAATATATTTATTTAGCTCTTCTAAATGAAGCAGTAATGACCTAGTTGCTTTTTGAGTTTGCAACCTGAGTGTTTTAATGGACTGAAAATGTTTTTATTACTCTGATGTACAGAATCTACTACAGCACCTTTTTTTGCATTATTTTGTTGATGTATTTAGATCTTAATAAAATGCAATCAAAGGCTCAATTATGGTGGAAATTTATTTGTTGTAAATCAAAAATATCTAAATAAAGAATGAATATATTTCCAGGAATATTTTTCATTTTGGCTATTAATAGATTTTTGGAACATCTCTAGGAAGTTTATAACAGTTTGTTATATCTTCTATTACGATTTTGAAATTTTTGATCTTCCTTTGAACTTTAGTATAATTTTGCTGTTTATTTTGAATACTTATAAATACGTAAGTTTACAAGTAATAATAAATCTAGAAATTATTCATAAATTATTTTCTAAACTACTTTTAATATTTAAAAAAAGTAAGGTTTTTTTCTAGTTTGTGATCCTGTGATATAACAAGCATGAGTTTAAGCAAGTGTTTCTCTGCTTTAGTTTTCATCAAAAATTAATTAGAAAATATATACAGTCGAACCCCGCTATAGTGAACCGTCTGTGGACTCAGTAATGTGTCCACTATAACCGATGGTTCACTATATCCAAATTTTTTGAATATTTTTTGCATAAGACAGTTGAATGATTGAAAATTGGCTTTGCAATTTTGCATAAGTTATTTAAAAAATTATTAACTAATTAACAGATAATAAAGCAAAAATTGATGGAAAAAGTAATTACGTCGCTAAATATTAGTTTTATTTTCACTTTTTATGAAAAAAATTTGTGATTTTTGATTGAACACAATTTGATTTTAAATTGAGTTCATCAATTTTCTTATCTACAATGTGCAAAGAATGCAAGATTTTTACATTTTGAACAAGATTTCGAACCATCTTAACAAAGCATCTTCTACGTTTTCTCTTTCAGCTCCACGCAGTTTTTTCGATGAAACCATGTTTTTGTCGTATGCCGCAAGAATTGCACTTCGATTTTTCCAAATGTTTGAAACTGTAGATTTTGACAAGGAAAATTCCTTACAATAAAAATTTCATAAAAATAT